GATAGAATAAGATTATTAAGGAAATAATTAAAATTTCAAAACTTTTTATATAATATTTTATTCTTATTATATTTAATATTAATAAGATAAAAATAATTGTAATATAAATTTCAATGACTTAATGAATATTATAAATTAAGTAATTATTATTAGGTATAATGAAGATTTGTTATGACTTCATTTTTCTCAATTATTGCATTTTATAATTATCTTTATAAAATAGCACTATTAGTTAAGTGTTAATTTATTGAATATACTAATCCATCATTTTCACTTTTTAATTAATAATATCTTTTAACTAAATTCTTATAATTAACTCTTAATGTCTCTGTGTCATTAGTTTTATCCAAGATGAAAGTATTTTATTCTAATAATCTAATATTTTCATCTCCATACTCAGATAATTTATTTAACAATCTTTATTATTCCAATTCCTTTTTTTTAAATTCATTATTAACATTTTATAATTCATCTAATTATTTTTATAATTATTTAATTCTCTCAATATAATCATTCCTTTCTTTTTCTAAAAGATTCTATTATAATTTAAATGATGAATCCAATTATTATATTTATTATTTTTAATTCTTTAATTCTTCCCCTAATTTTTAATTTTCTTAAACTAATTATTAACAAGTTCTGTTTTTTTATTGAAATAGTGTATCAATATCAACTAATTCTTATTCTAATTTTTAATATCTAATTAATTTTCCATTTAATATTTCAATTTCTAATTCTTATTTTAAATTAATTTCTTACTATTAACTTAATTTCTTTGATTTAATTTAGCATTCATTAGTTAAATCTTCAATTTTATTTTTATATGAATCTGAAATAGAATTTTATGTTTCAATTTCTCTTTTATATTATTTTTGAACTACATTTATTTCATCATCTATTTTTTTTTGATTTATTAGTTCAAAATGTTTAGCTTGACTATCAATATCAAATTAATGTTTTTCTTTTAAAGAATTTAATAATGAGTATAATCCTTCATTTTATATTAATAATTCTGATGCATTTAATTTTAAATTATCTAAATCCTTTTAGCAATCAAGATATTTTTATTAAACTTCTTGTTAATTCTTTTTTAGTGTATTATTTTCATTATTTAATTATCTATTTTATTTTTCCAATTAATCACAATATTATTTTGTTTCATATTATTCTTACTCTTTATAAACATTACTTTGCATCTTTTGAACTTAATATTGTAATTCTTAATACTTTTTTTTAATTAACTCACTATCATTGTATTATATCTATAAATCATATTACAATTAATCTATGATATTAAGTAAGAAGCGTATTTCACCTTAAGGATCTTTTATTTACATTTCTTCTTTATCAAAAGGATAATGCTCCAATGAAGATGAAACATTAGCAGGAGATTGATGAATGACAGGAGATTAATGATATTTATGAAATCTAGGACTTGTGCTAATCTTGTAGCTACATTCTTGAGATGAATTTAATAGATCATTCTCATACCTTCCTTTCTTACTACCATATTGTTGAAGCTTTTCAATTAGCTAAGACTCACTCATGTCAGTTAATAATATAATTATAGTAGTAAAAAAATTAAAAATATATATAGAATATCGAAATAATAGAAAAGAAATTCAGGAAGTAGTTCCTTATAAATCGATTTATCGATCAGTAATCATTTTACCATTAACCCATTCAGATTAAACTTCTTTAGATTAATCCATTTTCAATATACCTTTTCCATGTTATTTACCCTATTTCCATTCTCCTTTATAATATCTGCCATCAGACCATTCAAATACTCCAAAACCCTCTTTTAAATCATTTTTGTATCCACCTTTATATTTTCTTCCATCTGGCCAATTAAAAGACTACAATAAATTTCTAATTAATACTCCTTCTCCATCCATTCTATTTTCTTTCCATTACCCATCATATACTTTTCCACTTTTCCAATAATAAACACCATGTCCATCCATTTTATTACTTTTAAATTCTCCAATATACATATTTCCATTTCCCCATTTAAACATTCCTTTACCTTCCTTTTTACCATTTTAATATTCACCTTCATAAGAAGATCTATCCTACCAAGTTTCTTTGCCATGTCCTTATTATTTATCATTCACCCAATTTCCTTCATAATTTGCTTAATTTTTGAATCTATGGTATTTACCAAAACCATTTGCTTAATCATTTTTCCATTAACCTTCATAATAATCTCCAAATGAATGAATCAATCTACCATATCCAGATGTTTCATTATTTACAAAACCACCTTCATAATAACTTCCATCTGGCCATAATAATTTACCATAACCATGTTTTTAAGTATCCTTCCATTCTCCAAAGTATATAAAATCATTATCGAATTTAATTGGAGGATTTTGTTCTCCTCTTTCAATACCATGTGGAATTTCAAGTAATGGTAATTAACTTAAGACAGTTCGTACAATTTGATTTGAAACTTCAGGAAAGAACTCTAAACGCTAACCTAATTTTGGAGCTTCAACACTTGCCAATCTTTTAATTAGACATGATTAATTAAATAGAGTATGTTCTTTGACATTATTTGCCTCTGAAAATTGAATAAATTGAATTACTTAAGCCAATCTTAACAAAATCATCTGCTTCATATTCTCTTACATCGCAATCCTCGTTATTTATAATTTGTTTTTCTAAAGCAATTAATTAATTCTTAGTTTATTAAGTAGGTTGTGAACAACAATCACTTGTATTTCCCATTTAATTATTATATTTATAATACATCAATAAAGAGGTATTTTATCTTTATTACAATGGGACAAGAATGTTAGAAATGCTAAATGAGGCCAGAAGTACAACATTAAAGTGAATTAAATAAAAAAGAAGAAATTAGTTCTGATTCTGATTCTGATCCTGAATATGAAGAAGAAGATGAAAAACAGCCATGTAAATATTAATGAGTTTATAATTAGAAAAACCACCTTCAATGGATAATAAATCAAACTCTTCTACATTTTTTAAAGAGCAATACATTTCTTAAAATTCAAAGCATGAGTAAATTGAAAGTCTTTAGAATTAAATAAAATTTGAAGATGGTGGAATCTATACTGGAATGATTATAAACAATAAGGCAAATGGATTTGGCAGATTAGTTATGCCAAATGGAGATATATATGAGGGCAGTTTTATTAACAATTATTTAGAAGGAGAAGGAAAATGTATTTATGCAAGAGGACCTATATACACTGGATAATTTAAGTAAGGAAAATCAAATGGAATTGGTAAAGAAGTATGGCCTGATGGTTCTGTTTATGAAGGAGAATTTTAAAATGGTAAAAAGAATGGAAAAGGAATTTATAAGTGGAGTTAGTAAAGTACATATAATGGAGAATGGTTGGATAATATGATTAATGGAATTGGTAAATATGAATGGCCAGATGGTAGGGTAATTTATTAGTTATTTAGAACATAGTCTTATTATGGTTATTGGGTTAGAAATTAAATGCATGGTCGAGGATTTTATAAATGGATAGATGGTAAATATTATGATGGAGAATATGAAGCCGATAAAAAGTCTGGATTTGGTATTTTTAATTGGCCTGATGGAAAATAATATTAGGGTTATTGGTTAGATGGAAAATAACATGGAAAAGGACTTATGATTAATAAAGAAGGAAAGAAAAAATTTGGAGAATGGTAAAATGGTAAATTAATAAGTTGTTCAGATGAATCTAATTTATAAATTATTCCAGATGGTTGGTTTCTGAACACTTTTAATTAATGATTAAATTATTTTACTTGTATGTATATTCTTTTTTTATTATTTATTTATCAGTATTTTAATAATATAATTCTTCTTCTCACTTCAAGAAAAGAAAGTAAATTAAATATTATATTTAAATTTGTATTTATTAATTGAAAACATAGACATGAATCAGCATTCAGTATTTTTAGCTGTAAAAAAGAAGCATATATTTAATTTTCATTAAAGATTTTTCCAATCCATCAATCATAACTTTCATATTTTAACATTATTATAGTTTTTCAAGGACTTCTTACTTTGAATTTGTGTTTTAAATAATACTTGAAAATATGTCTTAATATAGTTTTTTAGTTGCTTTATTTTTAATTTTCTAATTCTTTCTAATCTTATTTTTTCTTAGAGGAATATAAGAATTGATAGAAATTTGATTAATATCTTAACCACCTGAAGGCTATTCAATCTATTAATTGTAACTATAAAAATCCTGATTGCTTATATCATTTTCATATTTATTCTTGTGAGTTTAACGACCAAACTGTATTGGAGACGATGAAATATCAAAGAATTCATTTTCATTCCAAGATTATTGAGGCCAATCATCTTCTGTAGATTAATATTAATCAAGATTCATTATTATTTATTCTAAATTATATTAGTAAGCTCCAATCCAAGATTTATATTACTACATAATACGTAATATTTTTGATTAAATTGACATTTCTATAAAAATCAACATAAGAATTTAATTAATTACAAGAAGAACTAGACCACTATAAGCAATTAATTATTTTTACTCTTTTAAATTTGCCATGAATTTTATAATTAATCATGAATTAATATTTCCAATTTTATAAATATCATATTAGCTAAATTTTATAAAGTTGCTAAATTATGAATAAAAAATTGAGAAATAAACTTAAATTTGTATAAGCAATAAAAATCTAAATATTATCTTATAGATATGATAAAGTAACATCTACATTAAAAATTAAAATAAATATACATTAATAATCAAAATAAATATATAAAAATGTTTATTGTTATTTCAAGTTGATAAATAATTAAGAATAGGTATTAAAGTTAATTTGAGATGAGCGAAATTCATTAAATTTAGAGTAAATTCATAATATTTGAATTATTTAATCATTCATTTATTTATTTAACAATCATCATCATCTTTTGACTAATCTCTATTCTTATGACATTTATTTTATATAATAGCATTATTTTTAATTCCATATGAAAAGATATTTTATCATGTTTAATGTATATAGATATTTTTGTTGACAATATAATATAATATAATATAATATAATATAATATAATATAATATAATATAATATAATATAATATNGAGGGCAGTTTTATTAACAATTATTTAGAAGGAGAAGGAAAATGTATTTATGCAAGAGGACCTATATACACTGGATAATTTAAGTAAGGAAAATCAAATGGAATTGGTAAAGAAGTATGGCCTGATGGTTCTGTTTATGAAGGAGAATTTTAAAATGGTAAAAAGAATGGAAAAGGAATTTATAAGTGGAGTTAGTAAAGTACATATAATGGAGAATGGTTGGATAATATGATTAATGGAATTGGTAAATATGAATGGCCAGATGGTAGGGTAATTTATTAGTTATTTAGAACATAGTCTTATTATGGTTATTGGGTTAGAAATTAAATGCATGGTCGAGGATTTTATAAATGGATAGATGGTAAATATTATGATGGAGAATATGAAGCCGATAAAAAGTCTGGATTTGGTATTTTTAATTGGCCTGATGGAAAATAATATTAGGGTTATTGGTTAGATGGAAAATAACATGGAAAAGGACTTATGATTAATAAAGAAGGAAAGAAAAAATTTGGAGAATGGTAAAATGGTAAATTAATAAGTTGTTCAGATGAATCTAATTTATAAATTATTCCAGATGGTTGGTTTCTGAACACTTTTAATTAATGATTAAATTATTTTACTTGTATGTATATTCTTTTTTTATTATTTATTTATCAGTATTTTAATAATATAATTCTTCTTCTCACTTCAAGAAAAGAAAGTAAATTAAATATTATATTTAAATTTGTATTTATTAATTGAAAACATAGACATGAATCAGCATTCAGTATTTTTAGCTGTAAAAAAGAAGCATATATTTAATTTTCATTAAAGATTTTTCCAATCCATCAATCATAACTTTCATATTTTAACATTATTATAGTTTTTCAAGGACTTCTTACTTTGAATTTGTGTTTTAAATAATACTTGAAAATATGTCTTAATATAGTTTTTTAGTTGCTTTATTTTTAATTTTCTAATTCTTTCTAATCTTATTTTTTCTTAGAGGAATATAAGAATTGATAGAAATTTGATTAATATCTTAACCACCTGAAGGCTATTCAATCTATTAATTGTAACTATAAAAATCCTGATTGCTTATATCATTTTCATATTTATTCTTGTGAGTTTAACGACCAAACTGTATTGGAGACGATGAAATATCAAAGAATTCATTTTCATTCCAAGATTATTGAGGCCAATCATCTTCTGTAGATTAATATTAATCAAGATTCATTATTATTTATTCTAAATTATATTAGTAAGCTCCAATCCAAGATTTATATTACTACATAATACGTAATATTTTTGATTAAATTGACATTTCTATAAAAATCAACATAAGAATTTAATTAATTACAAGAAGAACTAGACCACTATAAGCAATTAATTATTTTTACTCTTTTAAATTTGCCATGAATTTTATAATTAATCATGAATTAATATTTCCAATTTTATAAATATCATATTAGCTAAATTTTATAAAGTTGCTAAATTATGAATAAAAAATTGAGAAATAAACTTAAATTTGTATAAGCAATAAAAATCTAAATATTATCTTATAGATATGATAAAGTAACATCTACATTAAAAATTAAAATAAATATACATTAATAATCAAAATAAATATATAAAAATGTTTATTGTTATTTCAAGTTGATAAATAATTAAGAATAGGTATTAAAGTTAATTTGAGATGAGCGAAATTCATTAAATTTAGAGTAAATTCATAATATTTGAATTATTTAATCATTCATTTATTTATTTAACAATCATCATCATCTTTTGACTAATCTCTATTCTTATGACATTTATTTTATATAATAGCATTATTTTTAATTCCATATGAAAAGATATTTTATCATGTTTAATGTATATAGATATTTTTGTTGACAATATAATATAATATAATATAATATAATATAATATAATATAATATAATATAATATAATATAATATAATATAATAATGAATAATATTAAATTTAACATGTTATCATAATGAATTACAAATTATAAAATAGATTCTGTTTAAATTAATGCTTGAATATGAATTATATATTTTTATAATATGAAATTAGAAATAGTTATTTTTTTGATGATTTTAATACAACTATTAATTAAACAACGTGCACATTATTGATATTAATTAATTTAATAAATGTCTGAAAAAGCTTAACTAGCCAAAGATGCAATAAAGAGAAGACAAGGTGGAGGCAAGAGTCGTAAGATATTTGTGTTTACATAATTTAGCATCAAAAACAACAGAGAATGGAGGATAATCAGGATTAAATTTCTATTCTGGAGATGTCTCATCTCTAAAAGTTCAACCAAACACCGTACTTATAATTAGTCTTGTATATTTGGGAATCGTTGTGCTCTTACACATATTCAGCAAACTTAGATCAGGAGGATCAGAAGCACCTCCAGAAGGACAATGATTCATATTATATTATATAAATATCTACGCAAATTTTGTTTATCAGATCATAATCATATATTATTGTAAGTTGAAATCTTAATACTAAAGAGAATATAATTAATAATATAGAAGAATAAATGAAAAGGAAATTTGATGATCTTAAGAATATAAATTTGAAAAGTACCTTAATTATCCTTAATTTTAGAATATATTTAATTAAGAGTTATTGTAATTTAACTTTTATTGAATATATTACTAAATGTAGAAATTTTATATTGAGATAACAAATTATATTTTGAATATTTCTATAAGAGATAAGAATTTGTTTATAATGGTTTAATTATTATTTTTGTATGATTTAAAAGTAATGTATATTTGTTTATTGATGAAAATGAATAGAGATCAATATAAATTAAATATTAAAATAAAAAATGCATTTGAGGTATTATTTGAATGAGGAAGGAAAAAGAGTTTATACTTTAAAAAACACTCTTGATGATGGTTCATATACATTTAATGCTCATCCTGGTATTGATAAGAATTAATAATATAGCTAGATTTAGTCCTGATGATTTAAATTAGAAATATCGTGTTGAATTAAAGAAGAGATTTGGTTTGTTACCAACTTAAAATGAACCTCATTAATTTTGAAATGTTAATGATTATAAATTTATAATTTTATGCAATATCAATTTACAAATATATATGTGAATAACTAAAGAAGATAATATAGATATTTTTATTAAAAAACTAATACATTATTTTAATATAATTCGTTTAAATATGTCTTCAAATATAGAATTGGTTCCATTTTATAGTTCATTACTTCGTACAATTTAAAGTATGTACCAATAGAAATTGATTACAGCAGAAGAAAGAAGTGAATTAAAGAATTTTGTTGTTTCTAATGATTCGAAAGATTTAGGGCAATTATTTAAATCTTATGAAAAAGGATAATTGGAATAATTTATTTTGGAAAATTACATAAATCCAAGAAATAATGAGTAATTTATAGAAGATGAAGATGAGTCATGTTATTCTATATCAGAAATTGAATGTTAAAAAAGTACATTAAGTTGCACTCCTAATTATTTTTTATGGTAATTAAAACAATCCAAATAAACTAAATAAGAAAAAGAAGGTAATCGTAAAAGATCAAATTCATTTACTACATTTAAATAGTTATGATCATTAAAAAATACAAAAATTTTGAGTTTATTTGTATATACAACCTATTTTCATATATTCAAATAAAAATACAAAGTCTGATATTAATATTTTATTATAAATTATTTATTAATTAAATTTAGTACTTTCTAATCTCTCTTATATAATAAATCAATTAAATCTATTTGGTAAAATTTTTGGAGCAATTAAAGTCCAAAAATAAAGTCCAGAACAAATCCAACTAGATCCTATCTTTACATTATAACTGAGTTGACTAGGCATATAAATTTCAAAATTGTTAACTCTAATATTTGGACTCCCCCAATTTGTAATCATCATAGCCATATACATTGAACAAAAAGACATAACAATATGAAATACAATATATTGATTAGTTGAATAAGGTTGTAATTCAATTTATTCAATTAAAGCTTTTGCTTAATTCATTTATTAAGTAGAAGTCATTTCAATTTCAATTTATTAATTATTTTAAGTTGATCTATTCTTCTCACTTGATTTATCTAAAAATACTAATGATTATTTGCTTTGTTCTTATGTAGCAAATATAATGTAAACTAAAGCAATAAAATTTAAAATTCCATTAACATACATTTAAATTTTCATATTCTATGCAGAATCATAAAATATATTGATATCTGCATTTGGATAACTTGATAATGCACTAAATGTTTAATAAGTTATATAACAAGATATACAACCTGTTGCAAGTAGAGATCCTGAAGGATTAAATCCAAATAATTACACTACTGTTAATATTATTATTATTGCAATATTTATTAGGTTTATGAAGTAATTATGATCAAACCAAATAAAGTTGTAGATATTCAAAATTAATGCTAATGTATATGTTAATGAAGCTGCAGCTATCAAAGCTGATCCCATACCTTCTATTCCCTCATCATACATTCTTGCCCATTTCTCAGCCCAAAGATAAAAAATATCAATGTAGATTATTATTTAAAATAGTAAATATATTCCAGAGGCTACAATACTAATATCAACAAAGACTTCAAAGAATTTGTTTGACATATAGAGTGTTCCATAAAAAAACACTACTATGAATCTATTTTATATTATAAAACATTACATGAATTTCAACAACCATAATCCATTATTTATCATTTTAGCCAACCCTCCTTTTTCAAACATAAACAATAGTATTATTATATAAAATATAGTAAGAACAAAACTCATCCTATAGATTCCTGATATCCCCAAACATAAATTTGAAATTCCTTCTGGACATCCAAAGTACTTTAAATAATTTATATAAAAATCCTATATGTAGTACAATGCAATAACAGTAAATGCCATGATTAAATAATTTAGGATTATGTAAGCTAATTTAATTTACTCTTTTAGAGTTGTTTCAGCAAAGTACTTACAGCAACAACAAGCAAGATTGCAAATTTATGTACCTGCACAACAAACAGCCTCACATGCAATGGTAAGACACATTATAATAATTATAATAAATAATTTATCATTTTAATTTCTATACATATATATAATGAGAGATAACTATGGTTTTAATTGTTGTATTGTTTAAATATAGATATGAATCAATTGATATCTAGAGAGATGGAAATCAAATTGATTAGAAAGACCATATCATACAAATTCTAAAAACTATTGGACTTGTCAAATTTATTTAATAACAATAATCCTAACTTGTTTTAAAGATTAGCAAACATATTTCTAAAAAATATCTCTATTAATTATACTTGCTGATTTACAAAATAACAAAGACTGAAATTATGTGAATAATTTCTAAAAAATATATTATGTAAAATAAATAGAATCATGATTTGAAAAGGATAAGGAATAATTTGGTAATGAATTCAAAGCGTTTGATAAAGAATGAATGTATTTAAAATTGAATAACTAAATCAAAAATATTTAGATTGATTTAATATTGAATTCAGCCGAATAAGCACAATTCATTTTTTGAGAAAATATTCATTATTATTATACACTATTAAAGACTATTATTGGAATCTAACAAAATTTAATTATTCTTTTGAAATAATAAAGGAAACAATTACTCATTCAGAATGTTGATTAAAATATTATTATTAAATATACATTTTTAATACACAATAATTCATAATAATATTTAATATAACCCATATGCAATTATTATTGGTAGCAGAATAAATAATAATTGTAATTTTGGTTTAATTTATTATTAATTTTATTCTGTTTATTTTTTTTCATGCTATGATCGTGAAGGAGAAGCTGTTGTAATTTTATTAGGGGAGAATGTATTTTATTCGATTTTGATATCTGAACCTCTTCTTTTTGGAGAAGACTGTTACTATATTATATTCTCTTCAGAATTATCTAATTGAGATGCATATTATTATTCTTATTATCTACTCATTTTAATTCCATATTGCTATTTATAATAAATAGGGATACTGTATTTAATGGATTAATTTTATTAGAATTGATTAAGCGTAATACATTATAAGATAGTGAATTAACAATTCCATCAATTTGATCTTTGTCATGATTTGAAATTTCATAAAATTTAGCATCTAAAGAATTCGCAAGATTTCTTCCCTATTATGTTTGTACTTATCTAAATTAAAAAATAACATAATACCTTTATGTTTCTAGATCTTAATGTGTTGCAACAATAACAATTTAAATCATATCAGATGATACTTATTTAAGAATGCTTATCCAATTTTCTAATGATTTAAATGAATTTTGATTATCTATTTTGTAGAAAACAATAGCAGCAGCAGCACTAGATTGAGTATATAAAGAACATTGATTACTTTTAACAAAAAGTTTTCTATATTGCCATAAATTAAGAGCTTCCAGACTAATTAAAATAGTTAAAATTACAGTATCCCATAATTAATTTTGAACAACAATGCCATCATTAAATTCAATAGATTTACTTTCAAATTCCAATCCAATTGTAGGATCATATTCCTATATGAATTTACCTTTAACATATTAAGACAAGAAGCAAGATTTTCCAACTCCTAAGAATAATAAATATGTGTAACCTGTATCTCCAATCAATACAAATTTAAAGAGATATTAATAATCTTCAAAATTCATATATTTAATAATAGTAAAATATTAAGTAATACATATTACTAGATGCAATTAACTAAAAGTAATTAAGTTATAATAAGCTTTTATAGTTTATCCAGATGAAATAGAAAAAGAAAAGATTAATCATCAAATAAACTAGAATAATCAATAGTAAAAATATCCCAGAGAGTAGTTACTTGAAAATGCAAAGAACCTAGATTTAGGAGGATCTTATCAAAATTATATATATAATTGTGGCGAATGTTGTGGTAACTGTTCAGCAATTTGTCCTTGTAATCCATTTGTAGAATATCCATACAAAAAAATAGAATAAGGTTTTGTAGGAGTATACTTAAGATTTGGAAAATATGTGAAAACAAGTAATGAAATAAACTATTTCTTAGTGCCTCCTGGTTTATAGTATTTTAATCCATGTACAGATAAATTGATTAAAATTGATTGTAGAACTTAAATGATAGATTGTGAGAAGCAATATGTTATTACAAAAGATAATATTCTCCTATAGGTTGATGCATCTGTATATTACAGAGTAATAGAACCAAAGAAAGCCATATTTTTTATTTATGACTTATAAATGGCCGTTTCATAAATTACATTAGCATCAATAAAAAGTGTCATTGGTGCATATACCTTACAAGATGTATTAGAAAAAAGAACTGAAATTTAAGATTATATTTAACAATTTGTTGATGATCATGTAGATGATTGGGGAATAGATATTGAATTAATGATGATAAAAGATATTCAAATAGATGAAAGAATTAAATCTGCTTTAGCATAAGCAGCAACTGAACTAAGGTATATCTATTTATCCATTTTTTAAGAGCTGCATAAGCAAAAATTTTAATAGCTGAATCTAATGTTTAATCAGCAAAATTGATGAAAGAAGCTGCTGAACTTCTAAGTTCCAAATCAGCTATGTAAATAAGATACCTTGAAGTTATCAATAAAATAGGTTGCGAATAATAGACAAAAGTTATGATAATGTGATAAAGCATTATTTCAATCATCTTTGAATACACTAAAGAACATATCTTTTCTAACAGTAACTCTAAACACTTCTCTCATTCTCTTCTTTCTTTCCTTTTATCTATCCAATAACTTCTTCTTTATTGTAAAATATCTTCCATAAAATTTAACAGTTACATTTTTTTTCTCTTCTCTTCTAATATCATTAACAAATACAAATTGGATAAATTGAATCAAATATGTGTATATATTATGGAATATTTTCCTTAAACTTTTAATTTATCTTCTTTCCAGACTAATTAACTCTTTCTTATATTACAATCAATGATAATTCAATCATCTATTAAAAGAATTAATTTCTTAACTATTTTTACTTTTTAAATCCAGATTCTAATGAACTATATTCTATTTTTGCTATGTTTATTTAATTAATCAAATCTTAGATAATTTCATCCAAAGGGAATTTATATATATATCTATCTTATTTATTATGTATCTCTCTAATATCACACAATTAAAATATAATTGCACTATATTCTTCTTGACACATTATGGTTGCAATATCTATATGATATTCATAATGCTTGATTATGTCTTCATAAGTATGCTATGATTGCATTTTCGATTATTACTTGAAATAGATTTATTTAATTCAGCATAATCATCTAAGTCTTCTGGATAAATGCCATAATAAAACAATTTTCTTTACTTACTCAAAACCTGCTTCTAACAATGTTTTAAATAAAGAGTGTCTAAATGTATATCTTATTCTTGCCTCATTTTTTTCTTTATATTTTTATCATATGGTCCCAATTCTTTGAGAGACTTGTTCGGAGCTTTAAGTTTTTACCTAATTTAATAAAATTATATATTTCAAAAAAATTTATTTACTTTTTTTAAGGCACTAGATACAATTAAATCATTTAGATAATTAACTTTTATTAATATAACTCCTTTGTCTCTAGCATATAAGCTATCAATCATATAATCTTAAATATTATACTAAACTCTCAGTATTTGCACACGATATATCTATTCTATTAATAAAGGGTATTTACTTTATATTCTATTTATTTTTCAAAATATAATTAGATAATGTTTATAATTAGATACTTTATTTTGCATCAATCAATAAGATAATACCTTTGCAAGAACTCATTGAACTCCAATTTACCCAAATATTATCCATTTTTTCGTTTACTTTCTAAGAATCTATTAGCAAAGGTAGATATTCAATGATCAATATGAGTTATTATACAAAAATTAAGAATTTTATTTATGGTTATTTGATATTCTGAAAAGAGATGAAAGGAAGTAAATGATTTTTTTTATAATATATTTTAACATTACAATTATATTAAACACAATTCTCAATTTTGATCCTTTTATTTTGGTTTATTCAATAATTATGATCTTAATTCTCTTGCTAATTTCTTCCTATCATTTGTTTAATAATGATAAGATTTGATATCACTAAATTTATATTATTTTTATATATTACCAAAAATCATCAAAATATAGAGAATCTATAATACAAAATGTTGTTCCAAGAATAAAGAATACACCCCAACTTCTACCCAATAATTTAAATTTCATCTCTTTTAAACTTAAATTTATCTTTTTTAATTGCATAGCCTCATAAGTATATGCAGCCATAAATGTCATTGGTAATGTGAATATTATTTTATCTTTTAAATTGCTCCAACAAATTGGTAATTCTCTATATTTTAAAATACCCCAAGCATTATTATAATTATTTAATGTCTCTTCTAATGTAAAAATCTTTCTGCCTTATCTATCAATTGTAGGTATATCTATGGCTTTATCTGCTATTTATTAAAATTTTTCTTTCTTTTCCTCTTCTGTTAATGGATTCTCTTCTTATCTCTTTTTTATTGTATCTTACAACCAATTTAATCTACTCTATGATAATCCCAATTAATCTAATTTTTGTTATGCATTCTAAATTTTTTAATCCAATTCTTCAGCAAATTATCTTTCCTCTTCTGTCATAGGTTCTTCCTATTATTCATTATTATTTTCTTAAGAATTATTATTGTTCATTGAGTAAAAGTTATTAATTTATTATTACAAAATTTTAATATATAAATAAATAAATTCAAAATTATTGTTGTTTACATTTTAAGTATTTAGATTTCCAATATTAAATTTCTTATATTAATACATCCTTTTCAATATCATTCTATTTCAATTTTTCTTAATATTTTAATAATATCTATTTAGTTTTATCTACTATAGTTTATAAATTTTCATCTATTTTAATTTTCTATTCAATTGATATTATTGGATTTTAATGTATTTATGTGGTTGTTGAATTTGGATTCACTAATTATCCTGATGAATTATTAGAGAAATTACACTTATTTCTTTACTTCAATCTTAAATCAATAAATTCATTTTCTATAGATTATTTTTATGAATAAGATTCTGAATGTTATAGAGTTTATCTTTTTGGTTTAATTTACTTTTAATCTTTTTCATTAAGTTTTTCAAAAAGTGCAATCAAAGTGCTTCTTTCAGTATTTTATATAGGTAATTACTCAGCTTATATTTCATCAATAGATCTAACAAAATTTCCAAATTGCTTTTGCATTTCAAAATTGTTATTTGATAAGAATTCGTTATATTTATTAATGTCCTTATATTTATTGGATTTAAGTAACTTCAAAGCATTACATTTTAGAGTTTTGAGAGAATCATTATTATCAGTTGTATGATTGTATTTTAACATAGAACCTTTAGATTTTTGTTACAAAGAAGCAGATACAAAATATTATTGCTTAAGTGAATTGGTAGGTGAAACTTTAAATATTTTATGTGATTCACTATTCTTACCCAAAATGTTAAAAAGTTTCTTCTTCATCAATTGACAATCTTATTTATTCTAAATTAAAACAATTATACTTCTTATTTTAGGTTATCTTAACCCTTAGAAGATTGAGGTTGACTATGAATTTAATGAGAATTTGACATAGTATCCTTAATAGATAGCTTAGATTTTAAGTTCTATGACTTTGAGATTGTTGCTTATTTAGAATACATAATATTTATTTTATTGTATATATATACTAATTGTTTAATTTGATAACTATGAATTAATTGATTAGATTTTAGAAAAATAAAAGAAATAAATTATTGATAATACTATTGATGGATGGAAATCAAGTATAATATATAAATTTTTATATATTTATGAAAATAATCAATTATTCAATAACTCTTTCTCTTTGGATTTATATAATGAATCCAATGATTGTGTTTACTTTTCAAATAAATCTTAGATTTATTTTTCTGCTTATCTCATGGTATCTTCAGATGTGACTTTTTTATAAGGTTTTAACTTAGGTTAAATAATTGTTTACATCATCTATGCATTCATGTCTAATTTATCTAAGATTTTATTTAGCATCTTCCATTAATTTCTTCAAATTATTTACTGCTATTATTCTACTCTCCTTTGTATTACCTTAAGCTAATTGACATACTATTTGTTTATCTTATTTCTTAACTTATAAATTAAGGTCTGAATTTTCTAAAGCCTATGAATGAAATTATGCATACCTTCATTACATCCATGATTGTTGATTCATCAAACACATTTAGAATTAACACACCTTATGATTTTTGAGATGCCTAAGCCAGAGAAGACAAAGGCAATTTTTCACCATAAGCTTAAATTGATACTCTATCAAGCATTTCTGGTGTCAATTTGCCTACTTATAATTTCTTAAGTGCTTCTTAAAATTTTTGAGCATATTGATCAAATTTGGTTTGATATATTGTAAAATCAATTGTTTTAGAAAGTCCAAGATTTTATTTCTCTTGCTTTTTATCCATTCTTTCCTGATCCTTTTTACTAATCTTTGCAAAATTATATTAAAATTATCTTTGAAAACAACGTTATTGTATGATAACAGGTCTGAATGCTGTTGCGAATAATTTTATCATAAGTTATTAATAATTTGTTTTTGTTAATATTATGACATCAATAGAAAAATAGCCATATTATTAAGATCCAAGTTTTTAATTCTTTGTTAAGAAAGGTTTAATAAAATAGAACAAGAAAGGATAAGTTTTTCCAATATTTACATATCGTGTTAATAGTTAACCATCTCAATCAAAATATATTGAACTTAGAGTATTTCCATCCAAAATAGTAAAGAGATCAAATATCTAACAAAATAGTCCATCTCCTTTAGTCATTACAAATATACCAAAAAAAAATACACTTTATCAAACATATATAGACAATATAATATAGAAGAAAACTAAAGATAAATCAGAAAGTCGTAAGAGATACTCTAATTCTATTGATGAGATAAAGGGGAAATAAATTGAAACTGTTAAAGATTGTTTCCTTCCAAAACTTCATTGTCTTAAAAATAAACCATAAAGATTATAGTATCGTCATTCATTACCAAAATAAGATATCTATACAGAACCTAATTTTGAGCCAAATCCTTCAGATAGATTGTAACCATGGGATTCAAGTTAAAAGTCATTTACTCTCTAATGAAATTGATAATAATTTTATAGAGTTACTATTGATAATTTTAATTAACAATATAATTATAGAGAATATGTAAATAAGATTATATATGATTTACTAATAAAATGGGATTGGAAAAGAAATACATGACATATTTTTTAAATATGAACTTTAAAATACTATTTTTTATGTCAATTATAATTTATATTATATATGAATATGCAATTCATGTATTACTAACCTTATGATGCTTTATTTTAAAAATTCTAAAAAAATGGGAAGATAACAAGGACTGATTTGATATCAATATTGTAGGCTATGAATTACAATGATATGTAAATAGCTAGTGTGTTATCTAAATTTAATGATGATGAAATAAGTAAAAGTAATTAAGTATATAGCTTAAAATTAGTTTATGCTTAGTATAATGGTTCAAAATATTCCCACTTATAGATTCCCTACACAAATTCAACCACCTATACCTTAATAAGTAGATTAAAATTAAAATCAGCAAAAATTTACATAAGAATAATAGTAATAAATCTATGAGGATTTCAAAACCATATTAAAAGGATAAGAATATGATAAGGCCTTGAATTTTTTATGTAATAAGTGTAATTAAATATTTTTAGAATAATATAAAGATATGGATTTAGTAAATGTAATTGATTAACAAAGCAAACAAATTTGTTCTTACATAATTGTATAATTTGATAATGAAGGTGTGGCATTAAAATTTCTGTCTTTATTGACTGATTTTAGGGTTAATTTAAATTTTAAGGATTCATTAAAATAGTCAATATTATTTTATATATGCAGAGATGGTAAATTGAAATTACTTGATTTTGTATTGTCTTAGAATGCAGTTAATATAAATGATCAAGATTAATATGGATAAACACCTTTATTTTATGCAGCCAGGGATAATAAAATAGATATTGTAACAAGGTATATCTCATATATTTGATATATATATATTAGACTTGTTTAAGTAGGAGCCAATGTTAATTTAGTAGATACTCTTTCAAATCAAACAGCATTATTCTATTCAGCAAGAGAAGGAAATGCTGAAATTTGTAAAATTTTAATAGATGTAATAATATTTAAATATTTAGAATGGTTGTAATCCAAATCATTAAGATTAACATAAAAAGACAGCTTAATTCTTTGCCAAGAGATTTTAGAGAAAGGAAGTAATGGAATTATTTAATTCATATTTTGGAAAAAGTAAAGATGATTATAAACAAAATTCTAATTATAATAATGAAAATAGTAAAGGAGAATAACCAAAATAATAAAAGAAGAAAAATAAAGATTTACCAAAGTAAGCCTATAAATTAATGTTTACTGATGAATATGGTAATCTATAAGAAGTAACATCATCTGAATTTGCTAAATTTTAATAGTAATACCCTTAAATAGCTAATCTAATAATAAATGCAGATGAATTAATAGATGAAAATGTTTTAAATTCTATGAAAGATGATGAATTATGGGAAAAAGTAGCTAAAAAAGTGTTATAAATATTATGGAAAACAAAAGGAGCATAATTATTTCATAATCCAGTAGATGAAAAAAAGTATGGTATAAATGATTATTATGATATTGTAAAAAAACCAATGGATTTTGGAACTGTTAAGGTATTTAAATTATCTATTAAAATTAAATAGTAAAAATTAAATGCAAATTAATATAAAAATTGTAAAGAATTCTATAATGATATCATGTTAGTGTTTGACAATTGTATATTATATAATGGATCAGAAAATGATATTGGTTAGATGGGAATTGCATTAAAATAAGAGTTCTTGAATTAAGTAGAATAGACTGGTCTAAAAAAACATTTATCATGATATATTATATGAAAACATATTTAATCAATTTAATGTTTATAAAAATTATATTATTAATTACTTTATTTTTCCATCTAGCTCAATAATCAAATAATCAACAAACTCTTTAATTAACAAAGTACAAATATTATATAAATGGATATTTCTATCTATTTAATTATATTGAAAAATCTTATTTGATTTTAATAGAACAACTAATCCTTTTGATTTTGAATGATCTATATGAATATGAAATTGCAAGTGATTTATAATAAATAATAATGATATGATAGTTGAATTTTATTTTATTTAGGGATAACAAATAAAGAAGATTTAATTGTTAACTATATATATAGAGCTAGATTATGCATTCGAAGAAGCAAAGCTTAGATAAATAAATAAGTAATATATAAAAAAGTTATAATTTATGATTCTTATGCATAATTGATAAGCAATAAAAATATGATCATAATTACCATTGGAATTGATTTTTTTTATTTAAACTGATAAACAATAAAGTACAAAATCATTTTGTTCCTTAACTTATAGATTTATTAATGATTACTTAAATAAATAGTTCTATATATATGCTTTTACAATAACAAGGTTATAAAATTGAATATGATAAAATAAGTATATTTTTTTTAATTAAAGAAGAACTTCAAAATATTATATAGGTGTGAAAATAAGAAAGAAACATTAAAATCATTATATCTATTTGAATTGGAATATTTTAATAGAAATTGCATAGGTTGCAAAAAAAGGAGAACCAATATTTTATATTTCATCTATGTAATTATAATAAAAGAAGATCAACTAATATTAGTTGAAAGTATAATTGTTTGAGTTTTGATTATAATGAAAGTGATAATGTCAATAATTTACAAATATCTCATATTCAGTAGTATTCAACTGAAAAGGATTATTTTAGAATAACAAAATTGTTAAATTTAAACTGAGTTTTCAAATATTATTAGAATTAATTATTCTTGTATAGCTTTTAGAGAAGGGGAAAAATATTAATGAATGATTTGATAATATATATAAATATAAATATAATAATTATCGATAAATTAGTAATAAACAAATGAAGAGGAGTATAAAATAGCAACATCAGCTCTAATTAAAATAACTGTATTGTAAATAGAAAATGAACATCTAAACTGAAGTTGATGACACACGTAACACAAAGCCAGTAAATAAATATTGTAAAGTCTAGATTTCTTTAAATTATTCTCCTTTAAATAAGATAGATCAGAGTGTATTTTCTAATAGATGGAAAATCAACAAAGGATTATTGGGTAATAGAACAAATAGAATGTTAACTTAACAATAATCAGATTCAGAGAATGAATTTCCAAATTAATTGAAATTAATATAACTATCTCAAAAAAGTTAGGTATAAACAAAAAGATCAATTTCGAACAAAAGAAATAATAGTATTGGAGATTATAATTAATCTCCTAATACTTAAAATAGATCATCATTATATACAAGTTAAAAATAAAGATCGTATTCTATTCAACAATAATAACAATCATAAAGATAACAATAATAATCTTTATTTTAGTCTATTGGAATTAAATAGAATCAAGCAAATGATGCAAAATCATTTATTTAATAATTTGAATTAACTATAGAGGAATGGGATAAATTTGGAAATAGATTCCCTTTAGGATTTCAAAGAGAGAAACTATTGGGAAGAGGAGGTTTTTCATTGATTTGGTTAGCTAAAGAATAAAAAGGTGGTTAATTATGTGCTGTAAAATAGATCCCAAAAAAATCTAAACATGAAACTCATTTTAAAGAATTAGCATTTTGCACTTAATTTTTTAATAAAGGAGGTTAAATAAAGAGTTAATATTAGTAAAATGAAGGAATTAAATATCTTTGTAAAATGTTAGATTATGTTATTGATCCTCAAGATGTATTTATAATGTATGAAGTATGTGGATTTTCATTGGGCACTTAATTGTATGACTTTGAGTCTCTCAATAATAGTTATAAGGTATAATAAGAATACATGGTAGTTAATTCCATAGAAATTAAGTCTGCTCTTTAAGTAGTTTCCTGTCTTTTTATTAAAGTTTATAAAAAGAATTACCTAAACTATAGAATTGTTAGTCAAAACTGGTTGGGTCCATAGTGATATTAAAAGTGAAAACATTCTAATCTCTTATGGATAACAAGATGTTGAATTCAAAATTATAGATTATGGTTCATCTTTCAAATTTGTAGAAGTCTTTGAAAAGTTCTCTATGGCAACACCTGAATATATGTCCCCTGAAATGTTAACATTTATTCTAAGAGAGAATTAAATGTCTTATGATAATCAATTAATTGAATCACTTGTTAATTATGATAAATCTTGGGTTATAGATATTTGGGGATTGGGATGTGTAGTCTTAGAAATCATTTCAGGATTACCATTATGGATGAGTTATGATACACAAGTAATCAATTATAAAGGTCAGAAACTCATGGCATAAGGTTTATTTGCTGTTACTGGTAGGAGTTTTAGTAAAATTGTTGAAAAATAAATTAAAATACTAACAAATTTAGAGTTTGTATTGAGAGAATAAAATTATTCTGGTATTTAAGTTACACCTTTATTAATTTAATTATTAAAAGGAATGTTAGCCATCAATCCGAAATAAAGATATTCACCTTAATAAATATTGAATTTACTTTAAGATATCTGATTCATTTTTTATTATATTTACACATATCATTTAAAATTTTTATATTTATATTCTTTAATTAATTCAAAAATTATATTCAATTAATTTATTTTAATAATGTTATAACATTACACAAGACTTAAAGAATAACAAATGATATTATTAAATTTAGTTTATGAGATCTAAAATTAATTCTGTAATATTTAATTTATTTAATGAATTCTTATATATCTAATTATCATAAAAATTACTTTCTTAAACTATTATAAATGATATTTATAGAATTTGCAATTAGGATTATAGGGAAACTGTATTTAATTATTAAAAATTAAGTTTAACTTAATTTGATTTCTATAAATTAGATATTAAAACCATTGAAATTTATATTAATAAAATAAATATCAAATATGGCTGCACCTGATTTTGATTGTTTTCGAAAGATTAAAGTGCTTGGAGAGGGTGCTTTTGGTAAAGCACTATTAGTAGAGGATATTAGAGATGGGTACTTTATGTATATAACTTATAGGACTTAATGGGTAAAAAAATAAATAGATATCAGTGCAATGCCTTAAAAGGAAAAAGAAGAAACAATTAAAGAAGCAAAAATACTATAATGTTTAGATCATCCAAATATTGTTAAGTTTAAAGATGTATTCGCAACTAAGTAAGGTAAATTATGTATTGTGATGGAATATGCTGATGGTAGTTAATTATTATATTCTTAGGTGGTGATTTAGCTTTGAAAATCAAAAATTAATAAGGAAAGTTATTCTAAGAATCATAAATATTGGATTGGTTCACATAAATTTGTTTAGCACTGAAACATGTTCATGATAGAAAAATTATTCATAGAGATTTGAAAGGATAAAATATCTTTTTGAATAGAGCTGATAGAGTTAAGTTAGGAGATTTTGGTATAGCAAAGGTTTTAGGGAATACTTTAGAAAAAGCAAAGACTTGTGTAGGAACCCCTTATTATTTATCTCCAGAGATAATTGAATCGAAGCCTTACTCTATGGCTGTAATTTATTTCAATAATGTAGAGCGATATTTGGTCTCTAGGTGCAATTTTATATGAATTATGTGCTTTGAAACCACCTTTTCTTGCAGATAGTTTACATTTCTTAGCTTTAAAAATTATTAAAGGATAATTTCCATAAATACCAAATACTTTTTCTAAAGACATGAATAATTTGATCAAAGCCTTATTACAAACATCACCATAAAAAAGACCAAATATAAATTAAATATTAAGTAATTCTTTTTATTAATATTAGAAATGCCAATAATAAGTGCCAGAATGAAAGAGTTCTTAACTGAAAGTTAATAAAAGGTAGAATTTGCTCATACTATTTTACATAAATAAGTAATTAATAATAATTGATTATTAATAGAAACTAAATTGTTTAGCTAAAATATCTGATTTAAAACTAATAGATGAAGATAATCTTAGACCACCACCTAATTTATTAAGTAAATAAAATAGTAGTCAATCTTAATCATAATCATAATCATAATCATCATTATTACAATAACCACAATAATAATAATAATAATAATAATAATAATAATAATAATAATAATAGTAATAATAATAATAATAATAATAATAATAACTAGTTCAAAAATAATAATAGTATATACCTTAATAATAATTTATTCCAAAATAAGGTGTCAATTAATAGTAATAATAAATTTAATAATAAAAAGTATAATAAATACAATAACCACAAGTCTAATAACAGCAAAAATATTAAAGCAATTAAATATATTCATAATAACAATAGAATAAAAAGGTTTAAGGTAGATAAGAAAAACCCTTAGTTCAATAACATGTTATGTAACAACCGAAATAATATGTATAATAACCGAGACGCGAATAATCAAAGCCAAATTCTGCTGTATAACCATAAAAATAAAGAAATAGCAGCAAGAATAAATTAGTGGATGTGGAAAAACAGGAATAAGAAAGAAAAAGAATGTAATAAATTAAATTGGAAGCTGATCTTAAAAGAAAAGAGGAAGAAAAGAAAAAATTATTGAAAATTCAATAAGAAGAAGAGGCAAAAAAAAGAATAAAAGAGGATTAAAAAAAGAAGAGAGAATAATAATAAAAAGAGATGAGAGAAGATTTACAAAAAAAAAGATAATAGAAACAATAATAATAATAAAGCTAACCTAATCTTGAAAGTGAACCAAAATATATTGTTAGACAAACAATTTCATAACCAGAAAATTTTGAAGATGATTGTTTGGAGGAATACAATAGTGAAGAAGAAAATCTTGAAACTGAGGATTAATAAAGTAATAAAATATAATTCGAATTGGATCTTGAAGATGAAGATGAACCAAATATGGATTATGGATTAGTATAATAAGAAAATGATGCAGAAATTGATGCATTATAATAAGCAATCTTATGTAAAGAATATTAGAAAGTGGTATGTTGAATTCATTTATTATTAGCTAGAAGAAGTATAGGAAACTAATAATATTGTCAATTAAATAGAAGAAGCTTAATTTGAAAAAAAAAAGTAATAGTTATGGGAATAAGTTGATCTTGAGGATGTTATAAATGTTGATGATTTAGAAGATGAAGATGATGAAGATGATTTAACCTATACTAAATCTGCTAGATAAACAAATTAAGAGTTAGGATTGAATTACTTTAGCAATCCAAATGGCTTAAGATAATATTTATAACAAGTGCTTGGAAAAGATGTATTTGAAAAAATCTATAACATCACTTAAAAGTAAATATTAAATGTAATCTGAGTGATCTTTTGACATATCCAGTAGAAGAGATTGAAAAAATAATTAACAATAACACGAAATTGTTATCATAATTAACATAATAAGAAGCAAAAAAGTTTATGCCTTTGATGTTGTAATTAGTAATATTGGAAAATATTTAATGATTTTAAATTGGAAATTCATTCTAATAAAAACAAATCTAATTTATTTTTTATTTTTTATTATAACATTATTGTCATTCCTAAATTGATATTCTTTGATCAATCTTTAAACAATAATAATTTTATATAATACATAATTAATGGGGGGATTCATATATTCTAGTAAATTGAAATCATAAATTGAATATTTAGAAGAGGATAATACAATTACTGTAAATATACCTAATACCTTCTAATATTATCCTAAACTCTATTAGAAAACCTATGATGATGATATCGATGACATAAATTTAGGAATTCATGACATACAAGTTAAAAATCAATGTTTATTGTTCTTTTAAACATCCAAAAAGGAAGATTAACTCAATGATATGGATGATAGTAGAGAAACTCCCTCTTGGAATACACCATAAATATCTAATAAACCTGATTATACTAAAAATCCTAGAATGAAAAGACCACGTAGAAAATCTTAAACTAAGAAAAAATAAGGAAGAAAAGTTGTTTAAAGAATAAATCTGGAAGCCATATATTGATTTAAATGTTTTATGTACATAGTGTAATTTATAAATATTCAAATAACATCCTTCTCATAAATTTTTCATCAATTAAAAAAATCTTATCTCTTAATACTTATAATCAAAAGATAATTAAATATTAATTAATTACTTAATATGAAATTTAATACATATTATAAAAACACAAATTACCTTATAATTTAATTTATGCTTAAACTCAAAGGCTTAATTCTAATTACTATTAATAAATAAAGACTTACTTACTTTTCTAAAACAACTAATAATTAAATTCAAATATATAAATTAAGATGAATCTAATCAAAAATTTGCTATTAGTATTTTGTTAAAGCTATTTCTTAAAAATTATAAATATTTCAATTTAATTTAATATAATTATAAGAATTTTTATAAAAATTTGTTTAGTATTATTTTGAATAAAATCATTTATACAAATATAAATTTATCACTTCTCATAATTTTAGTTCTTATTTACTGCAGAACTCTTTATCTTCCAGTTTTCAATTATAACAATAAAAATTTAGTGAATGCTCTTATCAAGTTACCTATAATAAATTATCAACAACTTCTAAAAAAGACTCATCATTTTATGATTATTAATTTTCACTCAAATGTAAATTGAAGGTAAAAATTGCTCTTTATGAAAAATTAAAAAAGCTTTTAAAGCCTTAAAAATATTTATACAATCATCTAATTTTTCAGATATCATCTATATTTTTATAGATTATAGGACGTTTCTTAAGAGTCATCTATTAAATTGTATGCTTTCTTATTTTCTAAATAAATAATTCCAAACATAGACCAATACCTCTTCTTATCTGCTAATAGTTACGTTAATTATCTAATTCTTTTTTGTCCTTTTTGGCTGTTAAATCTATTATGAAGACAATATCACATTCTAATTTCAGATAAAAACATTTTTGAAAGATTTTCAATTAGTTTTTTTATCTAATGTGTTTTTTTTGCTGATAAAATTGATCAAATAATCTTAAAAAAATGAAATCAAATTACTAAAAGACATTTTTATTAGTTTCATTGATTATTTAGATATTTCTACATCTACCAATATATTGCTAAGAATGTAAGTATTAGACAAATACATATTTTAATTTTTTTGAAAAAGTTAAACCCCCATTTTTCTAATTTTAGCAATTAATTTAAAGTTTATTATTGAATGATCATTAATAATTTTGACAATAATTAATCTATTATTTCAAAATTTTAATCCACCATTTTTGATTTAATCTAGTTTTGTAGAAATTTATTAAATGAGAAATAATTTATATTGTGATGGAAAATGTAGGTTTATAAAGATTTAATATTCATTTAAGAAGATTATTTAATAAGTAATATATTGTTAAGAACCATAATTATTGATAAATCATATTAAATAGTTTAATAATACCATTAATATTAGAAAGATTATAGATATATTAATAATTAATATGCAAATTAATAAGTAATAGAATTAATTGATTAATGATAATTATTTATAATATGTATATATTATTTTTTTTTTTTAATTTAAAGATTACTTAAGAAAAGCACTTAAATTTATCATTTGAAAATATGAAAATTAATGAAGACTAACTAAATAATTAAAAATCATAGATTTATTCCATAATAAATTTATGTTTCTTATTTAAATTATCTATAATTTATCTTATTTATATAAATAAACTCTAACAACAGTTTAATTTATAACTTATTACTTCAATCTAGTAAGCATATACAACTTATTTAAGTGATATCATTAAATAAAATAATATTGAAATGTATATTAATAATAATAAATAATTAAGTTTTAATATATTTATTAAAGATAATATATAGAAGATTTATATATTCATTTAATTAATTAACTAATGATTTTTTTATCCTCTTTATTCATAAGTTTGTATGCTTAGGCAATACATTCAAATTACAATGTAATTCTGACCTAAGGAGAAACTTATTCACTTTACATGAAAGAATTATTTAAAAATTAAATACAAAATTTCAGTATTAAAGATTGCCCTAACAATGTGTATTTAATTAATGGAGTAAATAAATTATCTGAATAGAATAACAGTATTATTATATTTATTATTGAGATTAAACATTTATATCAATATCCTCCACATCCTCATTATTCTTACTAATTACTTAAGCGAATACATTGAATATTTATAAATGGAATTATACATATATGAATTCTACATATGTAAATCTAATAAATTAAGTGGAATTACCATAACAAATTTGTTTAAATTCGATANTAGCAATTAATTTAAAGTTTATTATTGAATGATCATTAATAATTTTGACAATAATTAATCTATACTAATAATACATTTAACAGAATTCTTTTTCATGATTTTGACTGTATTATTTCAAAATTTTAATCCACCATTTTTGATTTAATCTAGTTTTGTAGAAATTTATTAAATGAGAAATAATTTATATTGTGATGGAAAATGTAGGTTTATAAAGATTTAATATTCATTTAAGAAGATTATTTAATAAGTAATATATTGTTAAGAACCATAATTATTGATAAATCATATTAAATAGTTTAATAATACCATTAATATTAGAAAGATTATAGATATATTAATAATTAATATGCAAATTAATAAGTAATAGAATTAATTGATTAATGATAATTATTTATAATATGTATATATTATTTTTTTTTTTTAATTTAAAGATTACTTAAGAAAAGCACTTAAATTTATCATTTGAAAATATGAAAATTAATGAAGACTAACTAAATAATTAAAAATCATAGATTTATTCCATAATAAATTTATGTTTCTTATTTAAATTATCTATAATTTATCTTATTTATATAAATAAACTCTAACAACAGTTTAATTTATAACTTATTACTTCAATCTAGTAAGCATATACAACTTATTTAAGTGATATCATTAAATAAAATAATATTGAAATGTATATTAATAATAATAAATAATTAAGTTTTAATATATTTATTAAAGATAATATATAGAAGATTTATTTATTCATTTAATTAATTAACTAATGATTTTTTTATCCTCTTTATTCATAAGTTTGTACGCTTAGGCAATACATTCAAATTAAAATGTATTTCTGACCTAAGGAGAAACTTATTCACTTTACATGAAAGAATTATTTAAAAATTAAATACAAAATTTCAGTATTAAAGATTGCCCTAACAATGTGTATTTAATTAATGGAGTAAATAAATTATCTGAATAGAATAACAGTATTATTATATTTATTATTGAGATTAAACATTTATATCAATATCCTCCACATCCTCATTATTCTTACTAATTACTTAAGCGAATACATTAAATATTTATAAATGGAATTATACATATATGAATTCTACATATGTAAATCTAATAAATTAAGTGGAATTACCATAACAAATTTGTTTAAATTCGATATTATTATAAGAGGATTCAATAATAATTGACTGCTACAATTTGACTAATTTAAATATTTATATTTATAAAGACAATGTTTGGACTATTGTTTATTCTAATTTAGTTGAATAAATACCATAAAAAACAGACCTTAAATCATTTAATAGTAATTCAATTAATTCTATTCTTTATGCATAATATTATGATGACTATCAAATTTTAACCTAATTTTAATTTAGTCAAAATTTATTATAAAATATATCCACTTGGATAAAACCATTTATTAACTTTATAGTTTCTGATAAACTACAATCTTAGAATNCATTTAAGAAGATTATTTAATAAGTAATACATTGTTAAGAACCATAATTATTGATAAACCATATTAAATAGTTTAATAATACCATTAATATTAGAAAGATTATAGATATATTAATAATTAATATGCAAATTAATATGTAATAGACTTAATTGATTAATGATAATTATTAATAATATGTATATATTATTTATTTTTTTGAAAATTTAAAGATTATTTAAGAAAAGCACTTAAATTTATAAATTTATCAATTGAAAATATGAAAATTAATGAAGACTAACTAAATAATTAAAAATCATAGATTTATTCCATAATAAATTTATGTTTCTTATTTAAATCATCTATAATTTATCTTATTTACATAAATAAACTCTAACAACAGTTTAATTTATAACTTATTAATTCAATCTAGTAAGCATATACAACTTATTTAAGTGATATCATTAAATAAAATAATATTGAAATGTATATTAATAATTATAAATAATTAAGTTTTAATATATTTATTAAAGATAATATATAGAAGATTTATATATTCATTTAATTAATTAACTAATGATTTTTTTATCCTCTTTATTCATAAGTTTGTATGCTTAGGCAATACATTCAAATTACAATGTAATTCTGACCTAAGGAGAAACTTATTCACTTTACATGAAAGAATTATTTAAAAATTAAATACAAAATTTCAGTATTAAAGATTGCCCTAACAATGTGTATTTAATTAATGGAGTAAATAAATTATCTGAATAGAATAACAGTATTATTATATTTATTATTGAGATTAAACATTTATATCAATATCCTCCACATCCTCATTATTCTTACTAATTACTTAAGCGAATACATTGAATATTTATAAATGGAATTATACATATATGAATTCTACATATGTAAATCTAATAAATTAAGTGGAATTACCATAACAAATTTGTTTAAATTCGATATTATTATAAGAGAATTCAATAATAATTGACTGCTACAATTTGACTAATTTAAATATTTATATTTATAGAGACAATGTTTGGACTATTGTTTATTCTAATTTAGTTGAATAAATACCATAAAAAACAGACCTTAAATCATTTAATAGTAATTCAATTAATTCTATTCTTTATGCATAATATTATGATGACTATCAAATTTTAACCTAATTTTAATTTAGTCAAAATTTATTATAAAATATATCCACTTGGATAAAACCATTTATTAACTTTATAGTTTCTGATAAACTACAATCTTAGAATACAATTTATCTATGGAATAATAATTATATATATCTATTAAATCTTACTTAATAAGGGTTGAACTTAACATATAATTATTCATCTTTTTCTTAAAATATAATAGCAGTTTAAATATTCAATCCGTAAAGAATATTTTATGAATGTGATATTTTATTAATAATCACAAAGGAAACGACTTATAAATATATATTTTGTAACTAGACATTACCTTATTCATATAGATATTTTAGCTGGTACAAATAATCATATCTTAATACATACATTAACCAAGTTTTCTTGAGTAATTAGTTCTTAATTTTATAATTATTTGATTTAATTGAGATTTATGAAATTATAGATTTGGATTTTAATTTAATAGGAGGATTTAAAATAAATTCTTCATCTACTCAAATATCGTTTGATTATAATAGCAATGTGTTATTTATATTCAGTGATACTTAGATTTTAACATATTTGGTAGATTATCCTTAGATAAAATTCATTGCTGAATAGAATTAATCAAATTATCAATTTACTATTATAGGAATTCCATATTAGATAAATTAAACTGATGATTATTAATGTTAAAATTGTACGGTAGAATTAAATGTTAGTGTTCTTCCAATTAATGATAATTAAACATATTTAATTTATAATGAGACTAGTAAACAAAGTTAAATAATTTTTAAGAGTCAAAATTTAAACTACTACTTCACAGAATTCTCAGGTTCTCTGTTGACTGCAAATTTCTCTGTAGAAAATTCCACTTTGGGGAACTTTAATGATATAACATTTTAAAATGTAAATGTAAGCTTCATAAATTAATAATCATTTCAAAACTTTTAAATTTTGAATATGTATAAAGCTATTGGAATAACAAACTAAACTATTTATTTATGTTAAAAGTTCGATGATTATGATCTTCAATATGAATGTTACGAGATTAATAAAACTTAATCATAAATTAACATTAAGAATAATCAAATTTAAGGTTATTCCTATTTAAATTATTATTTAGCTTATTCCTATAGTTTTGGAGTTTAAATTAATAAATAACAATTATATCTATGTATTAATTGTTAATCTTATTCAAATTCACCATATATTTTAAATTTTGAAGCCTTCTAATAATTCTATTTGCTATTTCAATAGATTGTACTTTTGCTTGAATCAAAAGTAATATAAATTTGCAGTTTTAGTGGAAATTGTTCAAATTTAATAATTAATAATTATAGTTTTATTCCAGTTGGTATAGTATTAAATTAATAATAATTTTCATCAACTTTATTTATTAATAACAATTAAAGAAGCATTATTATTGGATAAATAACATAATCTAATAATTATATTATTAACAGTATAATAAATGTTACAATTCAGGTTTAGGATATTAAAATTGTAAATAATCGTTTAATATTAAGTTATAATTGTTAAAAAATTAAATTTATTTGTTTTTAAGTTTGGAATGTTCAAAATTTGAACTTTCCATTTCTAGAAAAGAATTTAAAAAGTATTTAGAATACAAATAATATTCAATTTTTTGCTGATAATCTTCTTTATTATGTTTAGACTAATAATTAAATCTATGTTTATAATCCTATTATGCTTGAACATTCTTCATTATTTTATACATTTAACTATACTGGATCCTATTTTACAACTTACTCTTAAGATGTAGCTTTTATTTCATTCAATTCTTAAATATATCAGTTATCTCCACTTTTAATTTACTCTTATCAGTCTACGTAAAATAATACAATCCTTAATGAAATAAGTTCGTGGTCTAATATATATAATTCTTCAGTTTAATCTTAAATTGGAACTTAAAATGTCTTCAATAATCCTGTAAATTAAACAATCATCATTTTGAATGATTTTTTGAATATTTCATAGAATAATAATAATAATACACCGTATCATGTGTCAGAAAGTCCTGTAATATTAACAAAAAATAATATAACTTCTAGTGGATAAATTGGATGGTTTGATATAAATTGTACAAACTCTAAATCCTAGGTTATCAATATTTTGAATTAAACAAATTTTACTTCTATTAATTGCTAAATAATTACAGTTTTTAATTAATAAATATTATGCACCAATTCTTCAAATAACGATAGAACCTCTAGTTATTAAAATTACTCTTTATAACTTTTTAATATGACCTCAGAAGGTAAATTTATTTAAGCATCAAATAAGGAGTATAAAGAATTGTAATAATGTATTAAGATTAATGCCCAAATGAATGCTAGTTATATATTTATTAATTGTTATCAATAAAATTTGTTAGGTTATTAAGAAAATGACTTATTTAGGATCAATATAACAAATTAATCTTTAGGTAATATTACCTATTTGACTAGACTCAATTAATTAAATGTGAGAAATTTTATACTTTAAGATGATATATTATACATCTCTGGTTACTATCATATTACAATCTATGATACATCTTTGAATATTTCTTAAAGTATCCTAAAAAAATGTTAGATGCCTAATTTTTAACCCTTTGTTTTTTATCAATCAAATTAATCTTTTTATGCAATAATTTATATATGTTAAAATGATCCAAAATTATATTATTAATTAGGTAGGCGTTATCAACAAGAAAATATAACTTTTATTTCACCTAAACATTTATAAATATAAGATTACTTTTAATTTGATTCATACCTTGTTGGAATTTAAATAGTTAAACAATAAATAAACTAATTTGCAATTATGTGCTTTATTAAACAGTTCAATATTATTATCAAATTAGAATATGTAATTGATTAAATGGATTTTTCACAATCTTGTCTAAAATTTAAACGATTATTGTAATATTCTCCTCCAATAATGGCTAATAATTCATATAGATTTGTTGATGCAGTAATTTCTAATGATTTAGTTTTTGTAAATTATCAAAACAAAATCAACATCTATTATTATCATTCATTATCGATTCTTTACAATGTTTCTGATTTCAATATAAGAAATTATGATTCCCAATATTTACTTACAGGAGCTATAAATTAGTAATAGATATAATAGATGATACAATTACCACTTATTTTAACATTTAATAGTTCGTATGGATTCTTGTTAAACTCCAATTATTATCAAACTTAATATAAAATTAGTAGCTTAAAAATTGAAATTTATCTTTAAAGCTTAACTGATACATGCAATTTAACTGCTTATAATTTTGTGAATTAAATGATCGCAAATTATACTTTTCACTATAAGTCTTAAACAGATTTGGGATTTGAATATGCACTAATAGCATTATTAATTATAGTCTTTATAGCAGCAACAATACTAATTTGGTATAGGACAAAAGATTAGAAAGAATAATTTGGGTTAGAAGAATTTGAAGAATTAGAGATTGAAACATTCTAATGATTATTAAATTTATTATAAGTACAAAATCAATCTAATATCTTCATAAAAATTTTATTTATAATACCTTTTTCGAATTTACTTTATTTTAATTGAATATCTGAATATATAATCCTAAAATAATTGTTTAAACTAGTGATATTCATTTTTTTTAAATTCATAAACAACGAAAATAATAATAGGCTTAAGCAATAATCCAATATTATGTCTATTAAGATTTATAAAATGTGATTAATTTAAATGAGCAAAATGTAAATAGTATTAATAATCATCAAAAAATAGTTGATAATTAAGTATCTCACATTAATAAAAATAATAGTACTTTTATCATTAATTATATAAATCAAAAATAAGTGATTATTTGGATTGTAATCATCCAAATCTAATAGTTCGAGATTCAATAAGAATAAAAATTAATTTATTCATGTAAAATAATAAAATATAAATAACTATTCTTATCATAAGTTCTTAAGTTATTACTGTATCTAAGAATCAAGAATAAATATAGATCTTTTGCTATTTTCAAGACTATTCTTAAATTTAGGATATTAAAATAGTATAAGATTATGAAATTTAAAAAAAAACATTTAGAATTACAAAAATTTAAAGATTCGAATATAAAATTATTGATTAATTATTTCATCTTAGGAAGTATTAGACAACAGTTCGACTTTTTTTTAAATCTAAGTGTGAACTTTATGGAAAGTAAAAGAAAAACAGAAGTAAAGATTTAAATAAATTAAATTAAGTGTTATATAAATATAATTTTCTTTTGTATTATTGGTTAGAGAATTCAATTTGGATGATTAAGTTTAATTTATAAATTTCAAGATTAATTTTCTTCATTTATTTAAACTAAATAAGATATATAATTTTTATTTGCTTAATATACTTATTGTTTTGTTTTTATAAACAGTCAATATTATTAATATTATAATTGAATAATTCAAATAAATTGATCATGCTTATATTATTTATATTAGATATTGTATAATTAAATATCAAAATATGATAGTCATGGCAATATAATATGAAAAACAATATTTATAATAGAATCTATATGCCTTCTCTTAATATTAAGTTGTAATGACAACATCGTATAATATTTTAACTATGATTTGAAAGGATTTCTCATATTTGAAAGATAAATTTAATCAAAATTATTATTAATAGGTTTGATTATATAATCAGAAATTAATAGAAATAATTATATATAATTCATATTTTAAATAAATTTATAATAGATGGTGTTATTATTATAAGAATTATAAAATAAGTTGTTATCTTTGATAAATTCTTAATTTTAGTATTAAAATAATCATATAAAAGTTTTACATAATAAAAATCATTTTATTGATAAAATAATCATTTACATGGTTATTTGGTTATATAATATAATTATATTGACATTTTTAATAATAATGATTATCAAGTGAATATTATTATTTTAATATAATATATATAATACAGTGAGTAACATAAAATATGTANTATATCAAATACATTAAATAAGTAGTATTCTTCAACTTAATCAATCTAAATGCATTTTCTATTTAAAGAAATAAATCCAAAAACAACAGTCATATTATTTAAATATGAACGTACTTAAAAATAAATTAAAAATGATACTATTTATTAACTTTTTGATTCTAATTAGGAATCAAGCTATCATACTATTAAGATAATTAAAATAAATATATCTGCAAATCGATTTTATCTGAAAACTTAAAACAATCCATTTCAATAAAGAAGCTCCCATTTTTTTTTGTTGGTAATTAGTATTAAATCATCTACATACAATATCATTATTAATTCTAAATCTAAATTTTTGTTTTTTAAGTATAAGTGATAACAGTTAAATTATTTTTCATCTATTTGAATGGCTTACTTTTTATGTTAATTACTGTACTCTTTTCCAAGTAATTATCTTATTTCTGCATTTCTAACATTAATTTTTTTCTTTTTTCTCATCTCTTTAATTAATCTATTAATCAGTATTATATTATTAATTTATGTAAAATTCACATGAAAAGACTACCTAGATATATTTATATTCCAAAAATGAAAAGTTCTTTTTTAATCAATTATTTTAATTAGGTATTTTATAAATTAAAAAGTTCAATCTATATAGTTTATTAAATATTGGTCTAGAAATGCCTTTTCATTAATTTAAATTAATTATTGTCTACTTCTTTAATTGTTTAATAAATTTACGAATCAAATATGAAGTTAGAAAACTGTTCCAAAAATAATTACCCTAAATTTAATACAGTCAAACATCTTCAATTTTATTAAATTCTAGTTAAAATAAAAACTATAAATGTGAGTTATTTCTTCAAATCTATACTTTCATAAAACTCTGTATATGAATAATACTAAAGCCATCTAAAAGTAAAGCTAAGAGTTTCAGCATAATTTTCAATTAAAAATTCTTAAAATTTCTCTTTTTTTAAAATAAAATATGAAAATTAAAAAAAGCAATAATCCTCTCATTTATTAATTACTCATTATTCATTTAAAAAAGATTTTATGCTATGCCAAGTTTTTCATTCAGGTTTAATGCAAAAGAGCTAGGTGATAAAACAGTAATTGACTGCTTTTAACATGTTTATTATTTTTCTACTTTGATAATGGGGCTATCATCTAAAACAACCATAATTTCTTCAAGTTTATAAAACAAAGGTATATCTTTCTATAATAACTTCAAATTTATAATTACAATGTAGATTCTAAGAAAATTTAAATTATGTATAAATCAATTATAACAATTGATTGAATATTAAAATGAGCTTATTAACATTAATAATTTTGATGATTTGTTTTTAGTACGATTATGGATAATATTACTTAACTTAAGAGAAATTATTAAATGAAGAAACATCTATTATACTTTTATCAAATTTAACTATTTTCTACATTTTCAATCTCTAAAATGAATTATTAAAAACAATTATACTTTCTCTTTCTTCCTTAAGTTCATTTATTATCCAATATTGACCAGAGAATTAATTTTCTTCAATTTATTTTAATTATATATAATTTTTATTTGCTTAATATACTTATTGTTTTGTTTTTATAAACAGTCAATATTATTAATATTATAATTGAATAATTCAAATAAATTGATCATGCTTATATTATTTATATTAGATATTGTATAATTAAATATCAAAATATGATAGTCATGGCAATATAATATGAAAAACAATATTTATAATAGAATCTATATGCCTTCTCTTAATATTAAGTTGTAATGACAACATCGTATAATATTTTAACTATGATTTGAAAGGATTTCTCATATTTGAAAGATAAATTTAATCAAAATTATTATTAATAGGTTTGATTATATAATCAGAAATTAATAGAAATAATTATATATAATTCATATTTTAAATAAATTTATAATAGATGGTGTTATTATTATAAGAATTATAAAATAAGTTGTTATCTTTGATAAATTCTTAATTTTAGTATTAAAATAATCATATAAAAGTTTTACATAATAAAAATCATTTTATTGATAAAATAATCATTTACATGGTTATTTGGTTATATAATATAATTATATTGACATTTTTAATAATAATGATTATCAAGTGAATATTATTATTTTAATATAATATATATAATACAGTGAGTAACATAAAATATGTAGATAAAAGAATTCTGATAATATTAAAGATATTATTTGGAAATATATTGGTTTAAATTTTGATTATTCATTTGATATCTATTTTTTTTTAATTAATAGGAGATTTGTTATTTTTTAAGGAAAAAAGAAGAGCTATAAAAGTATAATAACTTTTTTATTACATTTCCTTAGTATAGAAAATTTAGCATTGAGTTTTTTGTTAATTTAAAAACTTCATAAAATTTGAAAAAGTAGTTGATATAATTAACACTATTAAAATAGCTTATTGTTAATTTATTATATTTTCCACAATATTTTCAAAGAATTTTTATTTGATTTATAAATGAATAATGAGCCTTATTACAAATAATTATAGTGCTAATTCTTTAATTATTATGAATATCTAAAGTAATATAATCGAACTTTGAAAATTAAAGTCTACATTTTTTTCAAAAATATCTAATCTTTGTTCTTCTTTTTTTTTGTTTTTATTTTGATATTTAAACAAAAGATTGTAGTAATAATCTCATCTCTTACATCAACTTTTCTATAAATAATACCAGAATCTAGAACAATTTAGAATATAAAGTAAAAATCAAATATTATCAATAACATCAATAAATCAGTCAATATGTGGATGATTTGAAAATCTTTTATCATACAAATGCATGTTCATTTCAAAATCTTTGCTTGAATATATATGTATCAAGGATTTATTTTGAAATTCAATTCTTGACAATCATTGTACTAAATTTCTGTAAAAGATAATGATTTTGAAGAGAAGTATGATAGATATGTTTATAACTTAATTATGATGTGAATATATAATCAACCTTGAACACAGGTAGGAGCTACGACATTATTACATTTTCCTTTAACACAATTAGCAGGGGAGAAACAACATTCTCCATTACAACAATATTGGCAAGCTTGTTAAATTTAAACGTGAAGGAAACTAGGAGAATCTGGTTATGCATTTAATTCTTAATCTTAAGGAGTGTCAATTGCATTAACCATCATTGATGTGGCGATTAAGCATACTAAAAGGAAAGCTTTCATTTATTATTTATTTTATTGGATTTATTTGAATATTCAATTTACTTTAATACTGAAAAATTTGGATACGCCAATTTTTATTATTGAATTATAAAATATTTGAATTAATTTTAAGAATATAATTCTTATTTATTTTATAAAATGCTCTACCATTCTTTAAGTTCATAAGAAACTTCAAATGACAAATTTTTCAAATTAGTGTTATTGAAATTAAATTGATTTTTAGTTTAACTTTTATTTCGAGAATTCAAAATAGAAAAAAAGTTTCTTTATATAATTACAAACTTTTGTATATTTTATAGCTCGTTATTCGTTATGATTATGATACATATTATTAGAGATCCAATTATTCTATATATATATATGTTGTAAGTTAGAAAGATTCTAATTAAAATTTGATTGAATTTATAGGTTCTATTAAAGAAGATCTTTGAATTATAAGAAATCTGTAGTTGTTGATATAAATTGATTAAACAAATATTCAATAGAATTTATAATCTTTTGTTATTAAATATATTATAATTTAAGATTTATGAGTATGAAAAGAGTTTAAATATACAAATTTTAGAATTCATTAGATTTTATCATAATTAGCAAACAGATTATAAAAAGAATTAATAGAACTTTCTATAAGGAAATAATCATTTGACAAGCAATTTATGTGAAAATTCTAAATTAGTTTAATGTATTAAGGATTGATGCAGTGATTATCTAAGTAAACATTAAGGATTCAATTCATAAAGCCTTATTTATGATTAAGTTTCAAGCTTTATTGGATTTTTAATTATTACAATTAACTTTTTAAGTAAAGGGTTTTCTTAAAGCACATTCTAATTTTTAACACATCTATGTCAATCATCAGGACTTGATCTAATGTTGCCATAATCTGTTCAGGAATATTAATAATGACTTATATTTTTTATGAATGGAATAGTTCAAATAAACTACTAAAATTCAATCATATACTCTGAAGATTTCAGGGTTTGATACATTATGTCCGTTACAATTACCTCCACTTGATTCTATCTTTAAAAAAATCGAAAATTGACAGAAAATATGAATAAAATAAAGTTTTGAGTGATGAATCTATTTCTGAAACTTGGATAGCAAAAAATTGGTATTTGATTCTTAATAAACTTTGAAACCCAAAATTACATGAAATAGTTAAAACCTTGGATAATTACAGATAACTAGTTTGATTGACGAATACTCAAATAATACCCATTAAACTAATATTGTGAGCAATTATTAATAAGAAATAATTAGAACCTGTTAAAGGAATGAACATTCATTTTTAGATTTATGATTTAATCAGAATACTGAAAAAAATATAAGACTAAGAATTATAGAAATATAATATTTATAGATTTTAAGTTTGCTTATAACACTGCCAATTTGGAATTATTGTTTAATTTTATAGGATAGAAGAATATCCTTGCAATTACATATTGAAAAGGCCTAAATTTCGCATTTATTACATAGTTTTTAATGTCAAGAAATAAAGTTTTAATGATGCAGTCACATAAGGCAATATTTTATCACATTATTTATTCTAAATAAATATTCATATAATAATTTAAGAATGCATTATTAAGATTTAGATATCTACGTATTTACCATTATTTAAGCAGATGATGTGGGTATTTTTTACAAAACCTAAGTGTAGTAAAATATTATCTAAGAATGGCAGCAAGTAAGCTAAAATTAGAAAATATACTCAATTAAAAAATATTCAAAAGTGAATATAAGAAATAGTTAAAGAACATTGTGCCAAATTTAAGCATACTTGAGGTTCCAATAGTTTTAATTATTAGTATTGAAGTTGATTGGGAAGTTGAAAAATATCAACATGTAATTAACATAAAAAAAAAATGAATTTTTTCATGAGTAGTTTTATAAATTATTAATATAATTAAAAGAATACTCATCTCTTCTAATTATATGAGACTTCATTTATAATATCTTTATCAATGTAAAAAATAATACAAAAAGCAGACTTAAAGGACTATTCAAAAACTGTAGAAATAACAATATGATGAATGGTTTTTCCTTCCAAATATGAAATTTGATTAGCTCCAGTTAATCTTAGGAAATGTATCAGAAATTATTGACTTACCCTATCTGAAAAAGAAGAAAAAAATACAGCACAATAATTCAATCACCTACTTAGAGAATGAGAGTGAGAAAAATTTTAATATACTCAATGATATTGAGAACTCTTCAAATTGCCAAACCCATTTATAAGGAACACACAATATTTAAATAAAATACTATTTCTTATAAATCCTTAATTTGATAATTTGAGTGGAGAAGAGGTAGTATTCTGTAAAATGAAAAGAATGAAAAGAACAATAATATAATAGAATCCGCAATGAGTTTTATTGCATCTAATAAATTCCAGACAAAAGGAAATTCTTAGTAATCATCCTAGATGTCTAACTCTAAACGATTTGAATATTCAACAATTAAACCAATTTTTACTTAATAAATTTCTAAACTAGATGGTAGGTTTACATTAGAGTAATAAGTATATATTCAACAGCATAAATAAGTGAAATCTCTTTAAAATTATTGTTAAAACAATTTAATCAAGCAGTGAGTCGAATTCATTTAAGGATTTGAAACGCATATCTATATACAAGAAGTAATTTCCGAAATAATAGTAAGAGTCTTAATTCTTGAAATCTCTTATTACTAACTTAAAAATAACATATAGAGGAACAATATTCTCTTTTGTTAATATATAAGCAGCATATTATCTTTAATATTTATACTATCTTGTTTATATCAAAAGATGAAATATCCTATTTAATCAATAGTTGCTGATCTGGCAATTAACTCTTAAGAAAAAAATTTAGAAGGATTCTTTAGGGCTTAAAGACTTTTACTACCTCATTAGGGTTGATAAACAATTAGAAGTAAAATTTTAAGCAATAAAATTTGTGTAAACATATTAATATCTTGGGAATGTGATTGATAGTAAAGGATAAATCAATAAAAACGATATATTAATTTATTCAAGGGAATTTTGAAAGTCTTTAGATACCTTCAGTTTCTTCTACAAGCAATTTAAATACCTCATTAATATACTCTTCTCCACCAACTTCTGGAAAATTTAGTAGGATAACTAATCGAGATGTCAACTCTTCAATATGATAAAACTGAGTACTTAATTAAAAAAATGACCTCAATGTGATTCGTTATTAAGTGAAGCATTCATGCAAATGCTTGTTGGATTTTTGAATATTTCCAAAAATTTTAGGTGCTCTCTATTTTACAACCTTCATTATAAAGCACATTATTAAAAACCCATTTGCAAAACATTAAAGTGCTCAAAGAAGGTGACAAAGTAGAAATTTGAACAAGAAAAAAAAGTTTATGAGAAAATTTAGTGTATCAATCGATTTTATAGACTTGAGTCTTTATTACGTAAAAGAAGAAGGATAGAAAGAAACATAGAAGTGATTGAGAATGGATGAATTTATATTGAATTTTTAATTGCTATTTGTTTGGTCAGTAGTTTTTAACAAACTTTACTGTTACCAGACCTATACACTTTATAACGATAAAATTAAAATAAATTGAAGAAAATTAATTCTCTGGTCAATATTGGATAATAAATGAACTTAAGGAAGAAAGAGAAAGTATAATTGTTTTTAATAATTCATTTTAGAGATTGAAAATGTAGAAAATAGTTAAATTTGATAAAAGTATAATAGATGTTTCTTCATTTAATAATTTCTCTTAAGTTAAGTAATATTATCCATAATCGTACTAAAAACAAATCATCAAAATTATTAATGTTAATAAGCTCATTTTAATATTCAATCAATTGTTATAATTGATTTATACATAATTTAAATTTTCTTAGAATCTACATTGTAATTATAAATTTGAAGTTATTATAGAAAGATATACCTTTGTTTTATAAACTTGAAGAAATTATGGTTGTTTTAGATGATAGCCCCATTATCAAAGTAGAAAAATAATAAACATGTTAAAAGCAGTCAATTACTGTTTTATCACCTAGCTCTTTTGCATTAAACCTGAATGAAAAACTTGGCATAGCATAAAATCTTTTTTAAATGAATAATGAGTAATTAATAAATGAGAGGATTATTGCTTTTTTTAATTTTCATATTTTATTTTAAAAAAAGAGAAATTTTAAGAATTTTTAATTGAAAATTATGCTGAAACTCTTAGCTTTACTTTTAGATGGCTTTAGTATTATTCATATACAGAGTTTTATGAAAGTATAGATTTGAAGAAATAACTCACATTTATAGTTTTTATTTTAACTAGAATTTAATAAAATTGAAGATGTTTGACTGTATTAAATTTAGGGTAATTATTTTTGGAACAGTTTTCTAACTTCATATTTGATTCGTAAATTTATTAAACAATTAAAGAAGTAGACAATAATTAATTTAAATTAATGAAAAGGCATTTCTAGACCAATATTTAATAAACTATATAGATTGAACTTTTTAATTTATAAAATACCTAATTAAAATAATTGATTAAAAAAGAACTTTTCATTTTTGGAATATAAATATATCTAGGTAGTCTTTTCATGTGAATTTTACATAAATTAATAATATAATACTGATTAATAGATTAATTAAAGAGATGAGAAAAAAGAAAAAAATTAATGTTAGAAATGCAGAAATAAGATAATTACTTGGAAAAGAGTACAGTAATTAACATAAAAAGTAAGCCATTCAAATAGATGAAAAATAATTTAACTGTTATCACTTATACTTAAAAAACAAAAATTTAGATTTAGAATTAATAATGATATTGTATGTAGATGATTTAATACTAATTACCAACAAAAAAAAATGGGAGCTTCTTTATTGAAATGGATTGTTTTAAGTTTTCAGATAAAATCGATTTGCAGATATATTTATTTTAATTATCTTAATAGTATGATAGCTTGATTCCTAATTAGAATCAAAAAGTTAATAAATAGTATCATTTTTAATTTATTTTTAAGTACGTTCATATTTAAATAATATGACTGTTGTTTTTGGATTTATTTCTTTAAATAGAAAATGCATTTAGATTGATTAAGTTGAAGAATACTACTTATTTAATGTATTTGATATATTTCAAATTAATAGAGTTTATAAAATAGACTAGTTATATTGAAAATATAAATTTAATTATGAGATTATGTTTGCAATTATAAATCTTTTATGTTAGCTGTTACAAAATAACACAATTGAGAATCAAAAAAATTATTAAAAATGAAAACTTTGGTGTTGAATAATGATTTTTGGATGTAAAATTTAGTAATTCGTTAGAGAATGTTTTAAAAATGTGAGGCTAGATCTAAATCTTAGTTAAGCAGTCGACGATCTGATTTGATTTTTACTGCTTTTGCTCAATTATTCTATTAAATTATGATGGTACTTTGCCATTTTATCCTATATAAACTACAATTAGATTTAGATTTGTTAATTTCATAACATTTATAAAAATTGATTTCTATTTAATAATTAACCTATACTAATAATACATTTAACAGAATTCTTTTTCAAGATTTTGACTGTATTATTTCAAAATTTTAATACACCATTTTTCTTTTTATTTAATTTTGTAGAAATTTATTAAATGAGAAATAATTTATATTATGATGGAAAATGTAGGATTATAAAGATTTAAGAGAAATGTTTTAGATTCATTTAAGAAGATTATTTAATAAGTAATACATTGTTAAGAACCATAATTATTGATAAACCATATTAAATAGTTTAATAATACCATTAATATTAGAAAGATTATAGATATATTAATAATTAATATGCAAATTAATATGTAATAGACTTAATTGATTAATGATAATTATTAATAATATGTATATATTATTTATTTTTTTGAAAATTTAAAGATTATTTAAGAAAAGCACTTAAATTTATAAATTTATCAATTGAAAATATGAAAATTAATGAAGACTAACTAAATAATTAAAAATCATAGATTTATTCCATAATAAATTTATGTTTCTTATTTAAATCATCTATAATTTATCTTATTTACATAAATAAACTCTAACAACAGTTTAATTTATAACTTATTAATTCAATCTAGTAAGCATATACAACTTATTTAAGTGATATCATTAAATAAAATAATATTGAAATGTATATTAATAATTATAAATAATTAAGTTTTAATATATTTATTAAAGATAATATATAGAAGATTTATATATTCATTTAATTAATTAACTAATGATTTTTTTATCCTCTTTATTCATAAGTTTGTATGCTTAGGCAATACATTCAAATTACAATGTAATTCTGACCTAAGGAGAAACTTATTCACTTTACATGAAAGAATTATTTAAAAATTAAATACAAAATTTCAGTATTAAAGATTGCCCTAACAATGTGTATTTAATTAATGGAGTAAATAAATTATCTGAATAGAATAACAGTATTATTATATTTATTATTGAGATTAAACATTTATATCAATATCCTCCACATCCTCATTATTCNAAAATCATTATCTTTTACAGAAATTTAGTACAATGATTGTCAAGAATTGAATTTCAAAATAAATCCTTGATACATATATATTCAAGCAAAGATTTTGAAATGAACATGCATTTGTATGATAAAAGATTTTCAAATCATCCACATATTGACTGATTTATTGATGTTATTGATAATATTTGATTTTTACTTTATATTCTAAATTGTTCTAGATTCTGGTATTATTTATAGAAAAGTTGATGTAAGAGATGAGATTATTACTACAATCTTTTGTTTAAATATCAAAATAAAAACAAAAAAAAAGAAGAACAAAGATTAGATATTTTTGAAAAAAATGTAGACTTTAATTTTCAAAGTTCGATTATATTACTTTAGATATTCATAATAATTAAAGAATTAGCACTATAATTATTTGTAATAAGGCTCATTATTCATTTATAAATCAAATAAAAATTCTTTGAAAATATTGTGGAAAATATAATAAATTAACAATAAGCTATTTTAATAGTGTTAATTATATCAACTACTTTTTCAAATTTTATGAAGTTTTTAAATTAACAAAAAACTCAATGCTAAATTTTCTATACTAAGGAAATGTAATAAAAAAGTTATTATACTTTTATAGCTCTTCTTTTTTCCTTAAAAAATAACAAATCTCCTATTAATTAAAAAAAAATAGATATCAAATGAATAATCAAAATTTAAACCAATATATTTCCAAATAATATCTTTAATATTATCAGAATTCTTTTATCTACATATTTTATGTTACTCACTGTATTATATATATTATATTAAAATAATAATATTCACTTGATAATCATTATTATTAAAAATGTCAATATAATTATATTATATAACCAAATAACCATGTAAATGATTATTTTATCAATAAAATGATTTTTATTATGTAAAACTTTTATATGATTATTTTAATACTAAAATTAAGAATTTATCAAAGATAACAACTTATTTTATAATTCTTATAATAATAACACCATCTATTATAAATTTATTTAAAATATGAATTATATATAATTATTTCTATTAATTTCTGATTATATAATCAAACCTATTAATAATAATTTTGATTAAATTTATCTTTCAAATATGAGAAATCCTTTCAAATCATAGTTAAAATATTATACGATGTTGTCATTACAACTTAATATTAAGAGAAGGCATATAGATTCTATTATAAATATTGTTTTTCATATTATATTGCCATGACTATCATATTTTGATATTTAATTATACAATATCTAATATAAATAATATAAGCATGATCAATTTATTTGAATTATTCAATTATAATATTAATAATATTGACTGTTTATAAAAACAAAACAATAAGTATATTAAGCAAATAAAAATTATATATATTATTTTTATGAGTCAAAATTTAAACTTCTTCTTCACAGAATTCTCAGGTTCTCTGTTAACTGCAAATTTCTCTGTAGAAAATTCCACTTTGGGGAATTTTAATGATATAACTTTTTAAAATGTAAATGCTAGCTTCATAAATTAATAATCAAAACAAATATTGTAATCATTTCAAAACTTACAATTTTTGAATACGGATTTCGCTATTGGAATAATAAACTAAACTATTTATTCATGTTAAAATTTCGATTATATTAATCATAATTATTATGATGTTCAATATGAATGTTCCGAGATTATTAAATATTAATCATAAATTAACATTAAGAATAATTAAATTTAAGGTTATGCCTACTCATTTATCTATAGTTTTGGAGTTTAAATTAATAGCTAACAAGTGTATCTATGTATTAATTGTTAATCTCCTTCAAATTCAACATATATTTTAAATTTTGAAGCCTTCTAATAATTCTATTTGCTATATCAATAGATTGTACTTTTGCTTGAATCAAAAGTAATATAAATTTGCAGTTTTAGTGGAAATTGTTCAAATTTAATAATTAATAATTATAGTTTTATTCCAGTTGGTATAGTATTAAATTAATAATAATTTTCATCAACTTTATTTATTAATAACGATTAAAGTAGCATTATTATTGGATAAATAACATAATCGAATAATTATATTATTAACAGTATAATAAATGTTACAATTCAGGTTTAGGATATTAAAATTGTAAATAATCGTTTAATATTAAGTTATAATTGTTAAAATATTAAATTTATTTGTTTTTAAGTTTGGAATGTTCAAAATTTGAACTTTCCATTTCTAGAAAAGAATTTAAAAAGTATTTAGAATACAAATAATATTCAATTTTTTGCTGATAATCTTTTTTATTATGTTTAGACTAATAATTAAATCTATGTTTATAATCCTATTATGCTTCAACATTCTTCATTATTTTATACATTTAACTATACTGGATCCTATTTTACAACTTACTCTTAAGATGTAGCTTTTATTTCATACAATTCTTAAATATATCTGTTATCTCCACTTTTAATTTACTCTTATCAGACTACGTAAAATAATGCAATCCCTAATGAAATAAGTTCGTGGTCTAATATATATAATTTTTCAGTTTAATCTTAAATTGGAACTTAAAATGTCGTCAATAATCCTGTAAATTAAACAATCATCATTTTGAATGATTTTTTGAATATTTCATTGATAAATTAACCATATAATGTGTCAGAAAGTCCTGTAATATTAACAAAAAATAATATAACTTCTAGTGGATAAATTGGATGGTTTGATATAAATTGTACAAACTCTAAATCCTAGGTTATCAATATTTTGAATTAAACAAATTTGACTTCTATTAATTGCTAAATAATTACAGTTTTTAATTAATAAATATTATGCAATTCTATTTCATATAACAAAAGTACCTCTAGTTATTATTAATATTACTTGTTATAACTTTTTAATATGACCTCAGAAGGTAAATTTATTTAAGCATCAAATAAGGAGGAATATAAAGAATTGTAATAATGTACTAAGATTAATGCCCAAATGAATGCTAGTTATATATTTATTTATTGTTATTAATAAATTTCGTTAGGTTATTATAAAAATGACTTATTTAGGATCAATATAACAAACTAATCTTTAGGTAATATTACCTATTTGACAAGACTTAATTATTCAAATGTGAATAATTTTATACTTTAAGATGATATATTATACATCTCTGATTACTATAATATTACAATCTATGATACATCTTTGAATATTTCTTAAAGTATCCTAAAAAAATGTTAGATGCCTAATTTTTAACCCTTTGTTTTTTATCAATCAAATTAATCTTTTTATGCAATAATTTATATATGTTAAAATGATACAAAATTATATTATTAATTAGGTAGGCGTTATCAACAAGAAAATATAACTTTTATTTCACCTAAACATTTATAAATATAAGATTACTTTTAATTTGATTCATACCTTGTTGGAATTTAAATAGTTAAACAATAAATAAACTAATTTGCAATTATGTGCTTTATTAAACAGTTCAATATTATTATCAAATTAGAATATGTAATTGATTAAATGGATTTTTCACAATCTTACCTAAAATTTAAACGATTATTGTAATATTCTCCTCCAATAATGGCTAATAATTCATATAGATTTTTTGATGCAGTAATTTCTAATGATTTAGTTTTAGTAAATTATCTATACATTAACTAATTCATATATCAATTATCGATTCTTTACAATGTTTCTGATTTAAATATAGGAAATTATGATTCCCAATATTTACTTACAGGAGCTATAAGTTAGTAATAGATATAAAATATTTTAACATTTAATAGTTCGTATGGATTCTTGTTAAACTCCAATTATTATCAAACTTCATATAAAATTAGTAGCTTAAAAATTGAAATTTATCTTTAAAGCTTAACTGATACATGCAATTTAACTGCTTATAATTTTGTGAATTAAATGATCGCAAATTATACATTTAACTATCAGTCTTAAATACATTTTGGATTTGAATATGCACTAATAGCATTATTGATTATAGTATTTATAGCAGCAACAATACTAATTTGGTATAGGACAAAAGATTAGAAAGAATAATTTGGGTTAGAAGAATTTGAAGAATTAGAGATTGAAAAATTCTAATGATTATTAAATTTATTATAAGTACAAATTCAATCTAATATCTTCATAAAAATTTTATTTAATTATTTCCTATAGTAAATATGTTAATAAAAATAAGATATTCAACGAATCAATATACATAAGAGAAGAATAATCAAATATATAACATAATCTTATGTTCATTTATGATGATAATAATAATAGATAATAATTATATATATAAATATATCAAAATAATATATAAGAATTTTAATAATTTACTTTTATTATATATTCTTCATAACAAATGTATAGCTTAGTTAATAAGAATTAAATTATCAAAAAAGCCCTTTTGAATTAAAAAATATCTTATATAACCTGAATAATGATAAGGACATCAGGAAAAAATTGAGAATGATATTAAATTTTTATCAGAATAAATTTAGAATAATAAGAAAAACTAATAAAAGAATACTCTGATTTATTCTAGTGGCATCAAATATTAAAAATATTGATTGTAACCAACTGATTTCTTTGAATACAATTAATAAATTTAAGATCAAACTGTTTCATATTAATTTAAATACAACCTATATGATTTATAAAATGAAAACAAATATTTGATTAATAATATAAAATTACTTTAAAATAAACATTAAGTATTAATTTGATTGGTTAAAACGGAATTCTTATTAAAGGAAATTTGATAATTTGATTTGAACTATAATGATAATTAATTGCATTTTTATGTATATTTATTCATCCTAAATAATTCTTTAGAATAACATTTAGAAGAATTATAAAAACTATAATACATGATAATAATTATTTTAGTTCTAAATCTTAATTAATAACAGATATTAATGTTATTTTTTTGGATATAAAGGATGAATCGGGACTATACTACATTTATAGATATATTATAAAGAAATGTTTGGCAAAACATACATGATACTTAAAAGTACCATAAATAATAAGTAAGTCTTTGGAATAAAGATCAGGGAAAATTCCATTTCTCTTTTGTATCAACATTATAATAAAAAAAAAATTTTTTTTACACTTATTTTCAATTCGCTATAAGAGCTAAATCAAACATCTATAGATTAATATCACAGGAGTTTGATTAATTGATAGTCTAAAGTTTCATAAGAAATTAAAGAATGGTAGAGCATTTTATAAAATTTAATAAGAATTATATAATTTAAAATTCAAATTCAATAATTTATAATTGAATTATAACAATTGGTGTATCCAAATTTTGCGGTATTTAAGGAAATTGAATTTTCAAATAAGGACATTAAAATAAATAATAAATGAAAGCTTTCCTTTTAGTATGCCTTATCGCTACATCAATGATGGTAAATGCAATTGAAATCCCTAAAGATTAAGTCTTAAGTGGATAATCAGATTCCCCTAGTTTCCTTCACGTTTAAACTTTCCAAGCTTGCCAATTTTGTTGTGGTGGAAAATGCTGTTATTCAGCTTCTAATTGTGTTAAAGGAGTTTGTAATAATGTCATAGCACCTACCTGTGTGCAAGGATGATTTTATATTCACATCATAATTAAGTCATAAAAATATCTATTACACTTCTCTTCAATATCATTATCTTACAGACAATATGTGCAATAATTGCCAAGAATTGAATTTCAAGATTTTCAAATTAAAATGGATTTTCAAAAACGATATTCAAATTATCCGCATATTTACTCATTTATTGAGATTATGTTGATATTATTTATAATACTTTGCTTTTCACTCTACATTCAAATTTTTCTATATTCTGGTAATATTTGTTGAAAAGTTGATATAAAAGATGAGTTTATTGCTGCAATCTTTGAATTAATTACTTGATCAATAGTAAATAATAAGCAAAAAAGAATTAGATTTTTCTGAAAAAATTGTATATCATGACTTTTATTTTTTTAAATTCAATGATTATGCTAAAGATATTCAGAATAATAAAAAGATTTGTTATTCTACAATATGAAATAGAGCTCATTAAGAATATATAAATCAATTTATAATTTTTTTTTGGAAATTATATACATTTTATGTTCAATATTCTTATTTAACAATTATATTTTAATTATAAATAAATTGATAATAAGCAATTTTAATAGTTTTAATTAACTAAAATGCTAATCAAGGTTCTAATGAACATAAATTCAAATTCTTAATTTTTTAATAAGGAATTTAGATTAAAGAATAACAATATAGTCCCTCAAATATCATTATAAATATAAAATCTGGTATTAAAAATAAAACTGTTTATTCAATAGCAAAAGTTATTAATACATAAATTTGACTATTCGATATATGATTTATAATATTAAGGTAATATTATATGATATCCAATAATTCAAATAACTATTAAAGTGCGTATTCAATAAATTTATTTTTTAACAATAGAATGATTTTTATTATGTAAAGTATTTATATAATTATTCAATACATTTCAGTAGTATAAAATGGAATATACCATAAATGGTGTTAAGATTTCTAAGATTGAAATAGAACATAAATTTTAATACTAAAAAATAAAGAATTTGTAAAAGAAAATAATTACAACAACTTTTTATAATTCCTATAATAAAACTATTTATTATTAATTTATTTAAAATATTAATTAAAAACTATTATCATAGATATTATTTTATTGATTCTTCTTTATATAATGAAACCTATTAATAATAATCTTGTTTAAATTATTCTTTCAAATATTAACAATCCCTTCAAATAATAGTTATAGTGTTATATGATTATTAATATGATGATATTGCCATTAGAGAAGAATAATCCTAACAATCCTTACTAGAAGTCATATATAACCTAATTTAATTGAGGTGTTCATATTATAATACAAATGACTATCTTATATTCATCTTAAATTATTACATAAGAAATTTCTACTTTCTTCAAAATCTTTACATAAAAAGAGGCTAGAGAGTGTAATATTCAATATATTGGATAACTAATTCAATTTGGAAGTTTGAATTTTAGTACATTGACATTATATTTTCTGATGGATGAAAAATATGTTATAATAATCTTTGAAAATGTTACTATATATATTATAGGTTACTTGTTCATCAAGAAAATTTGATAATTTTAAGAAGTTTGCAAAAAAGAAAGAAGAAGATTAATTAAGAGGAAAAAAAATGAAAAAAATAGTGACAAATTAAATTCTCTGACTAACTATGAATAATATATAAGTATTTCTTAAAGAAGGAGAAGGAATCATTGAAATAATGATTAAGAGGAAATTTAAATAATATAATGTTGAGAAATATAAAAGGAAAAATTTGAAATTTAAACATTAGCAAGAATTTGCAGTAATTCGTTTTCGACTTGGGAAATAGAAAATAACGATATTGAAGAGAAGTGTAATAGATATGTTTATGACTTAATTATGATGTGAATATAAAATCATCCTTGCACACAGGTAGGTGCTACGACATTATTACAAACTCCTCTGACACAATTAGAACCTGAAAAACAGCATACTCCATTGCAACAATAATATTGGCAAGCTTGGAAAGTTTAAACTTGAAGGAAACTAGGGGAATCTGATTATCCACTTAAAACTTAATCTTTAGGGATTTCAATTGCATTAACCATCATTGATGTAGCGATAAGGCATACCAAAAGGAAAGCTTTCATTTATTATTTATTTTAATGTCCTTATTTGAAAATTCAATTTCCTTAAATACCGCAAAATTTGGATACACCAATTGTTATAATTCAATTATAAATTATTGAATTTACATCTAAACTGAATATTTATTATAAACTTGAATATTATAAACTTGACATCACAATATTTCAAAGAAACCTTATATTGAGGCTTTAGTTGACTTAATGTAAAGAAACTTTGAGGTTAAGTATCCTATAAAAAGAAAAAAGAATTATAACTTAACATTATGAAATTAAATTTTTTTCTAATTAATATTATCTGGTTGATGCCTGAGCTTTAATTTATATAATAAATAATATGGATAAATGATATATTTACATCTGCGATGATATCTAACTGGATATTTGCTTACATCTTTATTATAATATTTTAATTTTATTCAAAATATAATTTTCATGAAAATTATTATATATTTCAATTTGATATTGCTCAATTATCTAAACTTCTTATTTCCATTAATTTATTAGAATAAGGAAATTTAATGAAGATAGAAATTTTTGGTCTTAAGTGTAAAAATAATATACTTTTAAACATACTACATTTTCATGTTAAAAGCACTTATAGATAACCATATGATATGTATTTTAAATCAGATATAAATGTATTATTCCAATTTTTATGTTTAATATATATATCATTCTTTTTATTGCAACTTGTTAAAGGAGAGTATGTTTTCTCAAATAAATGATGGTATTAAAACTAAATCTACTATTATTATTTGCTAAGCTTGCATAATGTAAGATCAGGTTCCTGAATTTTTTATTGCATAGTTTAAAGTCATTTTTATTTGGAACTTCAAAAAAATTCATAAAAAAATTCTATTGTTTAGATAAAACATTTATTTATAGCTCAAAAGAGTAGTACAAGAAGAGGCCTTTTAATAACAAAAAAATTTTATTATTATTAATGAAATTTGAATAAAAATTGAATTAAAATATAATAGCTTCGATTAATTTGAGATACAACAATATTTAATTTACTATAGATTATTTATAAGGGGGTTAATATAAGATTTAAAGTGTTATTAAAAATGAAAAATAAACTGATATTATAACTATTCCTCTTAACTTTAACAGCAACAAGTATCTAAGTAGATTCTTCATTACATTGTGACTGTGCTGAACTTAATTAAGATGAGTGCAATCAATCAACATATTGGTGTGTATGGAATGTAACAACTTCTGAATGTTAATCATATTCATTTAAGTGTTCAAATTAAACAACAGAAATAACATGTCTAATTTAAAGTGATTTATGTGCATGGAATAATGGAGCATGTATTGACTATGATAAAGTATGTTCTGATTTTACAGATGAATCAAAATGTAAAAATGGAAATAACTGCTATTGGAATATAGAAAAAGTTTGTGAAAATTTTTCTGTTTGTTCAAACTACTCAGTTGATAATTGTCCAACATAAGAATGGTGTTCAAAATTATCTGGAACTTGTACAGATTATAAATTTGTTGTATGTTCTGAATTTATGTCATAATCAACTTGCATAGGATTTGAATCAAAATCAAGTTATTGTGCTTGGGATAATGATGGTAAATGTAGTACATTAGAAGAAATTAGTGATTGTTCATAATTAAATAATTTTAAACAATTATGTTCTGAAAATAATTGTGTTTATGAAGATAATGCTTGTAGAGCTCCTAAGTGTTCAGATAAATAAGAATCCACTTGTTCTGCTGTAAGAACTACTGGAACTACTTATACATTATGTTCTTATAAGGATGGTTAATGTTAAGATGCTACAGATACCTCAAATTTAACAAAAGATACTTGTTTCTCAAGAACAAGAAGAAATTATAAATGGTCTTCTGATAATAAATGTGTTGAATGTGATACTTTAATTGATGGATCTTTTGATTTTCAAATTGTTTTTGGAAGTCTTTTATTCATATTTATTGGATTATGAATTTATTTTAATTCATCATTTAAGTATAGATTATTGATTTATATATAATAATATCTATTTAATGAGATGGAAATATAAACACTTTTGATTTATATCTAATGGATTTGTTTTTGGTTCATTTTATAGTAAGGTAATACTTTCTCACTTATCTTTTATTCTTTAATATCTATTTTTCTTTTATTTAAACCATCATTTCATAAATCTTAATTCATATAGGATCCATAATGAAATCAATTGCTATCACATATATAATTAAAAGTAAATTGTTCTAAAAATTTTATCAAAATTCTTCTCTCATTTATATGTATATTATTTAATAACAAGAAAACCAAAAAGAATCAAACAGATCAATATTTAGATCAAAAAGGTTTAATTCTAAATCTATAGTAATGTTTTCAATTATACAATTTACATAAATAATTGGACTAATATCATATCTCTACTTCAAATAACAATAACATTATGTGCTTTTTGTAACAAATGATAAAAAGTAATTTACTTGATTTATAAATACATCTAAATTATAACTAATAAGTAAGATAAACCAATTAATTATTTTAATTGTAATGATTAAAGTTAAATAGATAGAAAAGTAATGAATTATGATAAAAGAAGAATTGGAATTATTATGAACAATTCTTTAAAATAATAAAGGAAATCAATAAAAAAAATTATATTAATCAGATGAAAAAGATTGCAAGAAGTTAAAATCTAAATTAATAAATTATAAATTGATGGATACTAATAATAAATATAGATAGAAAAATAAAATTTTGTATTTGTCATTGTAGTTAAATAGAAGTACTTTGTAGAATATTGGAAATATAATTGTGTGTGAATGGAAAGCGTTATTATTAACTACTTGATCACTAAAAAGTAATATTGCGATCATGAAAATTATAAGAATAATTGATTTAAGGATTTATCCTAAGGATGATATTAGAAATAATCAGATTTATTTCTTAATTATAAACATTTAGGAGAATGGATAAATTATGAATATGATAATTGTTATAAGATAGGGGTATGGAAGTGAATAGATGAAAAATATATAATTAATTTATATAACATAAATTAAATAAAGATATATTTATTTTTAAAATGGTAATGAATATCAAAATTAATCATGCTAGGGAGTCGACGCATATAAAAAGACAAGAGTATAAAGAAATGTTTAAAGAAAAGTAACATCAACTAACCTCTATTTGAAATTATTGATAAAGGTAATAATTAATGAATTAATCATAGTTATATAAATTCTTAGCTAGAAGAACAGATTCCAATTTCAATGCAACAATTTTAAGAAGACTTTAATAAACTAGAACAGCTAGATATCCCATTAGTGTAAGCAGACTTGTCAAATAAATTAATACTGCTAAAGATAAGACAAGAACATTAGTTGTTGTTGGCACTGTTACAGATGAGTAATTATATACATCATACCTTTAGTGTACGTCTTCTTACTGTTCCTAAACTTAATGTTTGTGCTCTTAGATTCACTGAGACAGCCAGAAAGAGAATTCTTGCAGCTGGTGGAAAAACATTGACTTTTGATTAATTAGCACAATAAAATCCAACAGGTATGATAATAAATAAATTAATTCAAAGGCACTGGAACAATATTATTGAGAGGACCAAGAGTTAGAGAAGAATTAAAACATTTNTGTTTTCAATTATACAATTTACATAAATAATTGGACTAATATCATATCTCTACTTCAAATAACAATAACATTATGTGCTTTTTGTAACAAATGATAAAAAGTAATTTACTTGATTTATAAATACATCTAAATTATAACTAATAAGTAAGATAAACCAATTAATTATTTTAATTGTAATGATTAAAGTTAAATAGATAGAAAAGTAATGAATTATGATAAAAGAAGAATTGGAATTATTATGAACAATTCTTTAAAATAATAAAGGAAATCAATAAAAAAAATTATATTAATCAGATGAAAAAGATTGCAAGAAGTTAAAATCTAAATTAATAAATTATAAATTGATGGATACTAATAATAAATATAGATAGAAAAATAAAATTTTGTATTTGTCATTGTAGTTAAATAGAAGTACTTTGTAGAATATTGGAAATATAATTGTGTGTGAATGGAAAGCGTTATTATTAACTACTTGATCACTAAAAAGTAATATTGCGATCATGAAAATTATAAGAATAATTGATTTAAGGATTTATCCTAAGGATGATATTAGAAATAATCAGATTTATTTCTTAATTATAAACATTTAGGAGAATGGATAAATTATGAATATGATAATTGTTATAAGATAGGGGTATGGAAGTGAATAGATGAAAAATATATAATTAATTTATATAACATAAATTAAATAAAGATATATTTATTTTTAAAATGGTAATGAATATCAAAATTAATCATGCTAGGGAGTCGACGCATATAAAAAGACAAGAGTATAAAGAAATGTTTAAAGAAAAGTAACATCAACTAACCTCTATTTGAAATTATTGATAAAGGTAATAATTAATGAATTAATCATAGTTATATAAATTCTTAGCTAGAAGAACAGATTCCAATTTCAATGCAACAATTTTAAGAAGACTTTAATAAACTAGAACAGCTAGATATCCCATTAGTGTAAGCAGACTTGTCAAATAAATTAATACTGCTAAAGATAAGACAAGAACATTAGTTGTTGTTGGCACTGTTACAGATGAGTAATTATATACATCATACCTTTAGTGTACGTCTTCTTACTGTTCCTAAACTTAATGTTTGTGCTCTTAGATTCACTGAGACAGCCAGAAAGAGAATTCTTGCAGCTGGTGGAAAAACATTGACTTTTGATTAATTAGCACAATAAAATCCAACAGGTATGATAATAAATAAATTAATTCAAAGGCACTGGAACAATATTATTGAGAGGACCAAGAGTTAGAGAAGAATTAAAACATTTTGGCAGAGCTGCAGGTTTACCTGGATCTCATGCTAAACCATATGTCAGTCACACTGCAAGAAGAGGAAAAGGTGCAAGATGATTGTTTAAAGTACATTAATATATAACAATTAAATAATATTTATTCATTTTTATTACAATAATACACAATTTTTGTATATTTTTATAGAAGCATAGACTAATTATTTTTAATATAACTCTTAAATACTATATCAAAAAGATCTTGGTCTGCATATAACTATGATGATATTTCAGAAATAAAAATCACTATTTTTATATTACTACAAACTTTTTGCTCTGTTGAATTAAGTATTAAGTATAATTTTAATTGAGTTGCATCTTTTGGATTAGAAGAGGTCTAATTAATTGCTATTGAACTACTTATAGATAAATTTCTTTTAATAAACTATTGTATGGTTTTTTATATTTTTAGTATATTATTCTATGGCTGAGATAAAATTAGGACTAAAGTAATTGGTTTGAGGATTATTTAATAGAATTATTCAATTGATTCCAATATTAAGTAATTTTTCTATTTTTTTAGAGAATAAGAAATAATATTAAATATAATATATATAAAATATTAGAAGTATAAGAAATAGATTTGGGGCAAGTATTATATGCAAATGGATAGAGTAGTAAAAGATTGCTCAAAGAAATATGGAACATATGATTTTTAATAAATTTAAAAAAAAAAGTATTCATTTATTGAAACTAAAAGATCATTCTTTTTTATAAAGAATCTCTTTAAATAACCTCATTCTCAAAAATATTCAAGAATATATTAAATTATTATATAATTAAAGATTAAATATTTATTAAATTTTTTATGGTAATATTCCATTAGTTCTTATAATTTTAAAACTTTTTTCTTATTTTACAATTTCCAAAATATTTAATTCTTCTATTGATATTTTGTTTGGAATATATTCTTAATAATAATTATAAATATAATCTACATTTCCATAATTGACCAAAATAAAAATTTATGTTCAATAATTAATTGACTTCTGCTTCTTTGAATATTTTATTAAATAGTTTATTATTTGTATTCCAAACATTTCCTATCTAAAGTAATCACTTATTTTATAAAAACTATGCCAAGAATCTCTTAAATCTTTTGTGTAATTTTGAAATCTTTCATCTCATTTCTAAATTAATTTAATTTAAAACATATTCTTAAATAAAATATTGTTCTTCTAAAACACAATTATATATTAGTGTATTTTAACTAAAAAAGTCATATCATTATGGAATTTCTATTTTAATTAACCATTAACAAATAACAAATTATTGAGAATAATATAATATTATTATTATTTTCTAAAATTTAGCATTAAAATATATAATAAATTTAGAATTTCATCTTAAATATTGAGAATAATAGAAATCCTAAACAATTCAATTTATCCAAATTAATTTATATAAATGTATAATTAATGTTCTCATAAAATAATAATCATTCTCCAGCCAATAAAAATAGTTTTCTTTATACTTAGTAATATACTAATGCACAAATGAAGATTATTTATATTCCCAAAGCAGAGTAAAAGTACCAATATTTTATATTGAACGTCTTTTAAGTTTAATATAATCCAATAAGTTATTCTTCTTTATTGAAAATAGAAATAAACTGTTTCATAAATGGATCTCCTAAAATATTAGTAGATTTAGCTTAATCAATACACATTGAACATGATCCATTTTATAAATATCTTTTATAAGCAGATTCAGGTACTGTTACCTTTGCACCTTAAAAAAAGAAGGTAAGATTAGGATATACATTATTACAATCACAATCTAAATTACAATTAAAATAATTATTGTAAATATGATTATATACTTTTTCTTCTAATAATAAACAAGTAGTTCCTGAATCAAAGATACTACTATGATCTTCAAAGTATAGATATTCATCATTATTAATTTAAATTCCCAATATTTATGTTGACTAATTTAAATAAAAATTAATACCCATTATTTTTTCATATTTGTTTTAAGCCAAATAGTTTAATCAAGTATAGATTGATTAAATTGTCCATAAAACAATTAAGATCCTTGGGTTGAATTTAAAAATTAAAATCCAAATAGAGGAGATTGAATTTAGTTATTTGAATATGCAGATTCAAAGATATTATTATACTAATCCCAATTAGATAATCCCATAATGCCAGATGTTGTTTTTTATAGCTTAAATATGAATATAGATGTACAAATAAATCAGAAACTTGATTTGCCAATAAGAAAGTTAAATTTGTATTAATTGGTGTATCAGAAATTGAAATCAAGTCTTATCCAAATGAACCTTAGCATTCTCCTTATCCATATTTTTATGTATAAGTTTAATTGAAATCAATATATGTTTAAGACTTAAATGGTTTATATCTATTTAAGATAGAACAATTATCGCAAGTGTAATTAGCCAACCATAATATCTTAATATTTTGATATGTTATACACTAGATCCAGTGTCAACAAGAACTTGTAATGTTTATAATGGAGTTCCAATTCTCAATGTCAAAGCATAGTATTCATTATAAAAATTGTGAAGATCTATGGTTTCATCTATAGTAATTGAATTCTGCTAACCATAAGTTTTGGTTAGTAGGAATGAATTGGAAGCAATGTTTTGTGTAGCTACATTAAAGATAGAGTAGACTATGATTAAATATTACCCAAACATATTATTTTATATAAATGATATCAATCATCTATTTCATTTAAATAATTCGATTTAAACTCTACCTTAATTTCTTCTTTCTCTTAATCAACAACTTAAATAGTCACAGGATCATTCATGAAATTCTAATTTAATAACAATATAATTACTTTCACTTATTTTAATTAATTTCTTGCATTTTCTTTTTTCATCTATATTTTCTTCTAGAGTTTTAATACTATTTATTTTGCATCTTAATCTCCTAACAAAACAAGTTTTTCACTATCTTTTAATGCTTCTTTCCATTTTCCTAATTCTTAAAGTACTGTTGATCTTCTAAGTAATGATTTTTAATGATTGCTATTCAAATTTAATGCTTTATTACAATCTAATAAAGCTTAATTATAATCAAGTAATTTTAATTAACATTAAGCTCTATTTGAATATATTATTACTAGTTATTCTAATTCTTCTTCATTTAAAGACTATTTCTAATTTAATTCTTAAATACACTCTGTATATTTTTCGATGGCCTTTTAAAATTCTTATTACTTAAATAATTCATTTGCCTATTCTTTATTTAAAATCACTTATGATTTAATTACATTTCTACCACCTTTTACTACTATTTTATTATTAATATTTGTTTATTAAGGTTTTTTGTATACATCCATCACTATAGGTTCATCAGTTTCTTCTAATAATTTATCTACATCCACTTTATTCCAAGCATCATAATAATTTTATACTGAATTTGTATCTCTTTTCAATTATTTCTTTAAAATTTCTGATTGTTTCTCTTATTCAACTTTACCTCGAATAGGTACTGAATTAGGATCTATTTATAAATTTTATTTTTTCTATGGCTTTTAAGATGTATTCATTTATTCTTCCCAATCATATAAATCATGAATATAATCTTTGATTTCCAAAGCATTATTTTTTATTTATTATTATAGTTGAATTGACATTATATTAATATTAATATTAAAATTAAAAATTATCTGCAATGATGACAATGATTATGTTTAACATAATCAGAACGGATATATGATTCAATATGAATTAAAATCACAACTGAGCTGTTAATATAAATATATATATATTAATTATACTTTATTTTAAATCACTTTACCATAAATCAATTTGTGGTAATTTAAGTAATATATACATTTCAATCTAAAATGTATATAAAATATATAACAAACTTACAATTATATAAAATTATATCCATATTTGTGTATTATAATATATTGACTTAGTGTCATTTTATATTATATACAAAAATAGTATATCAATATAATATTATATTTGAATATATATATTCAAATAAAGATAGAAATTGTAATAAATATATTATTTTAATGATAAATTTCTTAATATACTATTTTATTAATGTAAACATGTTCATTAGGATGTCTTTTTCAATTCTTCTAATTCCAATGCTTTCTTTAATGCTTCTTATTAATGTCTTGATTTAATTCCTACTTATCCTCCTCCAATAGTTCTCAATAATTCATGATTTTCATTGTAATGTTATCTTAAATCTCTTGCCTTGTGATATTAAGAAATATTACTAAATTATCAAATTCAGCTTAATCTTCTTTTCTAACTTCAGTCAATGCAACACAAGTGGCTGTTTTTTAATGAACCAATGATCCTAATCTTGCTTTATCTAAAAATATATATATTAATTTAATATTACTTTTAATAAAACAAAATGGAACTTCTTATCTTCTACATAATTGTGGTAACCATACAACAAGTTCAATAGGATCAACATCATAAGCAATAACAACAAGTTTAGCTTTTTTTGTTTCTACAAGTGTAGTGACATGATTTAATCCAAATTTGAGTACTTATACTTTCTTTTAATCTGATTTTTAAGCTTATGCTTTTTATTCAGCTAATTTAGTTAATCTTTATTTCTTTTCAGTTTTAGTTTCTGGTGAATATTTCTTCAATAATGTCAATACTTTTGATGCTTTTATATAGAATTAATATTTACATTGATTCTTATCAAGTGTTCTGCTGAATTAATGAATAGCAGCTGGGACTTTAATTCTTTATAATAAGATCTTTTTTTATCTATGAAGTAAGATATATCTTGGCCATCTGACATATCTTGATAAATCTCTTTTTGGTTAAACATCATTTCCAATTCTAAAGTTTTTAGCATCTTTAACAAAGAGTGGATTCTTTTTTCTATCAGCTACTTTTTTTTGTAATTTCTTAGCTTTACTGGTTTTAGGTGCTTTAGGCTAGAGATTAACTATAGATTAATTACCATTTAATATCTTTTTAAATTAAATAATATTTATATAGTATAATACATTTGTCATTCCTTTTAGAATTTATATTCTTAACTTTAGATACCTTCTTATAATTATTAGATAACATAGATGAGTTACTTATCTATTATATAATAAAGTAAATAATATTTCATTTTGATAATTATTCTT